CATGATGTTTCCACCCCCATGCTTCACAGTAGGTATGGTGTTCTTTGGATGCAACTCAGCATTCTTTGTCCTCCAAACACAACGAGTTGAGTTTTTACCAAAATGTTATATTTTGGTTTCATCTGACCATATGACATTCTCCCAATCCTCTTCTGGATCATCCAAATGCACTCTAGCAAACTTCAGACGGGCCTGGACATGTACTGGCTTAAGCAGGGGGACACGTCTGGCACTGCAGGATTTGAGTCCCTGGCGGCGTAGTATGTTACTGATGGTAGGCTTTGTTACTTTGGTCCCAGCTCTCTGCAGGTCATTCACTAGGTCCCCCCGTGTGGTTCTGGGATTTTTGCTCACCGTTCTTGTGATCATTTTGACCCCACGGGGTGAGATCTTGCGTGGAGCCCCAGATCGAGGGAGATTATCAGTGGTCTTGTATGTCTTCCATTTCCTATTTTCAGGATTTTTTTTTCTCAATTCGTCTGTCATAGTTGACGTGTACCTATGATGAAAATTACAGGCGTCTCTCATCTTTTTAAGTGGGAGAACTTGCACAATTGGTGGCTGACTAAATACTTTTTTCCCCCACTATACCTTGTCACAACACAACTGATTGGCTCAAATGCATTAAGAAGGATAGAATTTCCACAAATTGTTTTAACTAGGCACACCTGTTAATTGAAATACATTCCAGGTGACTACCTCATGAAGCTGGTTGAGAGAATGCCAAGAATGTGCAAAGCTGTCATCAAGTCAAAGGGTGGCTACTTTGAAGAATCTCAGATATAAAATATATTTTAATTTCTTTAACACTTTTTCGGTTACTACATGATTCCATATGTGTTATTTCATCGTTTTGATGTCTTCAGTATTATTCTACAATAGTAAAAATGAAGAAAAACCCTTGAATGAGTAGGTGTGTCCAAACTTTTTGACTGGTACTGTATATAAACAGAACAGTACCGGACCCAAAATCGAACCTTATGGAATGCCACATGATATGTATGTTCACCAAGGGTGACAAATGGGTCCTAAACCAATTTAGAACTGTACCCGTCTATCACTAGAACGTTCCAAAGTGTCACTAGGCATAATAGTGCAGATTCTGTGCGTGAAGGAGAAAAGATGTCCGGGAGATTCCTTAGAAGATGAGGTTGCAAATCACTGTCAGTGTCGGTACACAGTTGAATTAACTTAAATACCATGTCAATGTCGCCTAGGTGCTTCCTAAGCCAGTTTACTTGTATATCTAACACAGTGGTTGCAGGTCTGCACCAGCATCAGCTCAACTTAACTTGCCCGACTGAGCACTCAGTGGCATGAATTCAGAGAGGGCTTAGCCAGTGAAATGGCATCTTTTAACAGTCCTCAATTATTAAGATATTTCTCTCCCAAGAGGGACGTACAGGCTGTAGTTTGTATGCGGTCTGACCAGTTGGATCACATCTTTCCCCAGTGCAACATTGCTCTTGTCGTCTGGAAACCATGCCAGCATTCCCTCAAAGGGAGAAAGCTGATACAATTTACCTATCAGCGATGGAGACAATCATCATTAGATTCCACTAAAAACTTCCTGGTGTCTATAAATAAAACCACTTCAATCTGATAAAGCATTTTACAGTAGGTGTTTACCATGGTATTCAGTGGACACAACCAATGTTGAGTATGTACAAGGTATGCCTTCCTCTTAAGTCTATTTATCTAGCTTGTCATCCACATCTGTATTTGTTGATGGGAGGAGAAGTAGGGATTTTGGAAAACCACAAATAAACCTCAAACTCCAGTTGAGCCAATGCTAATACAAGACCTCGCAAATGCCTCTTTTAAAAAAAATCAACTTATGCCACATAAGACGCCCTTGTTTTACTGTGGAGGCTAGCCAAGACTGACCGGAACACAGGCACATCCCTCAGCTGGGGATGGTGTACCACCATTCAGTCTTTGTGTGTGTGTGTCCCCGCTTATGTACGTTGACAATGAAGCTACCTATGAGTCCTCCATTTTGTTTCGTTGCTTTGACAATAGTGTCATAGCACAGAGGTGAATGAATGTGTTGGAGAGGGCTTTTTGTGCTATGGCAACGCAAGACCTACGTCTGTGTTGTGTTTACCCAATGGTCAGGGGATTATGTAACAGTGAGACATGTATGCTGTTGATGAACAGTGACAAGACATCTGACTGACTAGGATAAACGCCAGTATGTTAGTTACTCTACCCCACCAACCCTCTAGACTCGAGTCATGTGGAATATGATCAAAACACATTTCTTTATACTCTGGCTTTATTGTGATCGGCCCCCTGTTGACTTGCATGACACATTCAGAAGTAGCCTTTGACAGTGCAGATGCAAGGGATTGTTTTCTAACTTCTATTCTGTTTCTGCCCTTCCTCAGCTCTCGCTGTTTCACCTTGGCAGGGCTGGTATTTGGTTTATGTTAGTGACAGTCTGTTATCGCATCCATCGCTAAACACACACTGACTGTAGTCCTGTTCTGTATGGCCACGGTGCGTTCTGCCTTTAGTGACACGAGGCATTGTAAAGTGTGAGAGGGTTTTCACCACAGCTGTGAGAGACAGGAGTGTATGACTAGAAAGGGAGCTGTTGGTTTCTCTCCTGGTGACTGGGCAGCGTCAGGCTTCTGCTGCTGACATGTGCTGTCTTTATTATATAGGTTATCTGGGCTCCAAGAGGCCTCACTGCCCACAACTCCTGTCTCTGTCTGTCTCCCTCTCTTCTAGATTTCAGACGTTCTCTCAGGGCGATACAGCAGAGAGAGACCAGTGTATCTCAGTAAGATTGAAGGCAGCTAGGCTACTACCTGTCACTTCTGTGAAAATTCCCTCTCGTCTCCTCCTCTCAGCCCCCCTCCATTTAATCCATCTTCTCTCTTTATTTACTCCTCCTCCTTTTCTCTGTGAAGCTTTTCACAGAAAAAGTCACAAACAATGGCTACTAACATCTGCCGGTGACTTTGAAGTGGGTCATGTTGATGGTTCTCTAGAAAATGTGATTAGACTTTCCATGGAATCCCTCTTAGGAAGTTTGTATTTAGTTTGTATTTCCTGATAAGACTGTAAATCACAATACTGACTTTTCTTCTTCCTCCTCACAGATCATGATTGAGTTCTGCCCCGGAGGAGCCGTGGACGCTACTATGTTAGGTACGGAGACATACGTCCGGAATTATTGGATCCCTTGATAAAGATTAGCAAAAAATTATTAAAATACTGAGCTATATTGTATGCTATATTGGAAGCAAAATAGCCCCATAACATGAAAGATCCACCACCATATTTTATAGTAGGGATGAGGTATTTTCTGCACATGCATTGTTCTTTCGAAGGCCAAACTTGAATTGACGAGGGCAATCCATTATCGCAGACAAAAGATATCAAGGATCCAGAAAGATTCTGTATTGATTAATTTTCTAAGATCCCTCCCAATGTGTTCTCCAATCTCATAACACATTTTAGAAAAAGGCTGAGTGCCATTATCCTCACAAGGGGAGGGTGTTGAAGTATTTAAAACAGGGGATCCAATTATTTCTACCCATACCTTTTTAAAGATGTTCTTTTTTATTACTTGTTAAGCAAAATCTCTTTCTCTGAGAAATTGTATTAGTATAAAATAATATACTTTTCCCCCTAAAAATTGCATACAGTATAGCTCAGTATTTGTATTATTTATTTTATACAGTCTTTTTTACTCATCTTTATCAAGGGTGTCAATAATTCCGGACCCCACAGTGCTGTAGGCAGGGTGGTGCTTTATGGGTATGTGCGGTACTCTGCTCTCTCCTTTAGAACATTTGTTTTCATTAGCGTCCTGCCTCTCCCGTTTGATGTTTCAGATTCTATACCTGAGGCCGTAGCTGCAACTGCCACGGCGTTGTTGCTCTTAAGAATATTGCTCTATTATAAAAGAATTAGCGAACAGGGCCAAGTGACGTCACGCTGTAATGGATCTGCTATTGTTGCAAAACACTGGGCGCAGACAGAGAGGAGACACTGTGGGAAATATCCCTGGTCACTGTGGGAAATATCCCTGGTCACTGTGGGAAATATCCCTGGTCACTGTGGGAAATATCCCTGGTCATTTCCATGTAAAAGGACAGATGAGCACTAACGTGAAGTTCATAGGAGCATGTCGAATTGGGTGTCAAATGAAAGCTAGGAGTCTATATTTTTGAGAAATTAAGGCATATATACATTTTCAACCATTTTCCATCCTAAAAATCTGGAATAAGCAAAGGCTGATTTCTGGTCAAACCGAAAAAGTATTAAGTTATTAGAAATACATCAAAACTAGAGCTGTCAAATGACAAAAATAATTAAGCTAGTTAATGGCATTAGTTAATCGTTACCAAATTGGTAACGGAATTTCAGAAAAATCCGTAACGGAATTTCTGCGATTGAGTTGGCTTCAATGGGAAATCATAGTATTTACAAACCACAGTTGGGTTCACAAGTTTAAACGGCACAGTAAAGTACAGCACAGTAGAGTATAATACTGTACTGTACAGTAGAGTACAGTACACAGTAGAGCACACTAGATCTGAGTACACTAATGAACTGTACTGTACTGAACCATACTCTACTTTACTGTGCTGAACTATACTGAAGTCTGCTCTACTGTACCGTGGAATTACCCTCCTGCTTCTCATACAGCAGTCGCTGGCCCCAAGTACAACTAACCAAACACAGAGAATAGAGAGAGCCTGGTTTAGCATGTGAATGTTTTCTCAAAGTCAATTTACACTCTCTGGGCTCTCAGGGGGCAGTGGCCTCTTAAGACTACTTACATCTTGTACTGGCAGCAGCCCTATCTGCTGCATGGGAAATACTCAGGTGACCCAATAAACCACCTTGCCTTCGGTGGAGTTCGGACCTGTTACCAGTAAAAATGGGTTGTACTATTTTCCTGTTGATAGGATTTTTAGTAAAACTTTTGTTGTTGATGTGAGTTCCCCTAACCTGTGTCCTCGCCTCTTTCTGGTCTGCAGAGCTTGACCGGGGCCTGATAGAGCCCCAGATCCAGGTGATCTGCAAACAGATGCTGGAGGCCCTGGTCTACCTGCACAGCATCAAGATCATCCACAGAGACCTGAAGGCCGGGAACATCCTCCTCACACTGGAGGGAGACATCAAGCTAGGTCAGTCTCTATATTCTCCCTCCACAATGTTTTACCCATAGAATGTATTCTTATAGAACTCGGAGACCTGGTGTTTCCAGAATGCTAGAACCAGTATTCTACTTATTGGGTTTAGATTTCACAACTCTGAACCATGCCACTTAATCTTCCTCTATGTTATCCACAGTCTTAAACTATTTGGACTAATTCTCTCCAATAAGCAACAGACTTCTCATTGGACATTGTATATTGGTCACGGTCGTCTTTGGAAAGAGTGGCTGTTATCTTGTTGGACAGCAGAGCGTGATGGGAATGTTCACAAAAATCACGTGAATGTTACAAACACACAATCAACCCAGTTAGAAAAAGTCCTTCCCTGAGGCATCTCGGAAGTATCAGATGTGAGATGCGTGGGAAAGCGGCATTCGGATAAATTCTTCCTCAATGCGATTTATAGCTAGTATTCTGTTGAGTTTCAGTGTTCCTGAAGTTCTGTGAGCTGAGGATTTGGGTCCAAACGGTCTCTCAGATATTTGTTGAAGCAACACTTGCCAAACAATACGGCTGCTTTGTGGAGCCTATAATGGCTTTCTAAATGTCAGTCTGAGAGAAAGGGAGGAACAGGGAAGAGAGCTGTACTGTACTCAAAGGGCTGCCCGAAAACTCATGTGAACTTTTAAGGACCCCCTGGGAACTCCCGCTGTCAGTTACTTCTAACTCGCTGTCTGAACTTCAGACAGTCTGACTGATTCCTCATGTTACAAGGCCCTTTTCAATGCCTTACATAGTTTCACTAGGACAGACGCCTGAGCTTTTTTATTTTTATGACAGGGAGTTGCCTCTGTAATCATTAAATCAGGCCACTAGGCTGCTGCTTTACCAAGAGCCTCTAACGGAAAGTTACCAAAATAAGGCCGTGTACAGTAAGGTTCTTCTGGCCTGTCATATGAAGCTAGTCTGTTATGCGTTTTGCCTAGAAGGCTTTTGATTTAGAATTTTGATTTTCTCCTCATGTACAGAGAATAGATACTCTTGGTGTCTGTTTACTCACACAGATGGGGAAAGTTGAGTATTTTCATCCTAGTTCATAGTGTTTTCCCATTCTTTCAACCATCATTGAAAAGGAATTGGCCCCTAAAGAATTCCTCAAGGCCTAACAGAAATCAGACACTATACTTACCAAAGGGAAGTCTGAGTTTGTTTTATGGAACAGTTAAAAGGTCAAGAATGACTAAGCCGTCATTGTAAATAAGAATTTGTTCTTAATTGACTTGCCTAGTAAATAAAGGTAGTAGTAATAATAATAATAATAATAATAATAATAATAACAATAATAATAATAATAATAATAATAATAATATAAAAAATAAAAAAGACTAGAATCTGAACTGGATACCTTTGCCAGCATTGCCCTGGTCACATCCCAGGTGGTCTCTGGTAATATCCTGAGAAAGACGCATGTGCTGCTAAAGCAGAAATAACATCTCTGTAAGTGCTGGATCATGTCTGGGGAAATGGAACGGTCGTTTGGGATGTTATGCCCTGTGCCGTAAATTTAATCAGGCAGCTTTGCGTCTCGCCTCAATGACGTCATGGCAGTTTTACGGTGTAGAAACACATATTCCTCCCCCAAAATAAGAAATGAGGTTATAACACTGGCCTGTCAATCATTCACTCTACCAAGAAATGGAATTCTGAAACACATTTAAACTTTTCTGTTTTCTTTGTGTGTCTATGCTTGCAGCGGATTTTGGCGTGTCAGCGAAAAATACCAAAACCCTGCAAAGAAGGGACTCTTTTATAGGAACACCATACTGGTGAGTACATACACATGAAAACAACAGGTAAGGAGAATGGGTATCGCCCACTGCCAGTGATTTTGTCCCAAATGGCACCCTATCGCGCTCTGGTCAAAATGTGCAGGGAATAGGGTGCTATTTGGGACGCACACAGTCTTTAATGGGATAATGGTCGTACTGCATGACTAGATGTCAAAAATCTTCCTACTACCCATGGCACCTAGTGAACCAGTTCTATGTTCTGTTTTGATCATAGCTTTACAAGGCCCTTGGAAAAGCTCTAATGTCTTAGTTTGATTCTGGATCTGGCTGGTCCGCCAATAAGCATGGTTCGGTTTAAGTTAACTGACCAGAGCAGGTTATCCAATGTCATCTGGGATAGCTTCTCACCCTGCCCAGGTGTTGCACAATGTTCGATAGCTTCATAAATTAGATACAGATGGGATTTCACTCTGTGTATTCTGCTGTGAATGTGAAGCTTAACAGTGTACCATTTCTCAAGATTATGGAACGTGTCACTTTTGATGGTAAGCAAACACTGAATACGCCTCTATCTCCAGTACGTTATTATGCCTACTGTCCACTTGGTCAGTAAACATAGCTGAATCGAAAGTGTGTTGACATGCAAATATTGGCTGTGAGCTTGGAATGTGAACTATTTACAACTGTGTACAAGTATTTACACATTTTGTAATAAGCCAACGGCAGTAAACGTGAGGGACGTTTCAGATGAATCATATGAAACCTAAACATTAACGTCACACTTTATTTTCTTCTAAAAAAACACTAGAGGAAATGTTCCACTATATTAGGGGTCCTCTATTGTACTATGTTGTATTCTAGGATGGCTCCGGAGGTGGTGATGTGTGAGACCATGAAGGACGCTCCGTATGACTACAAGGCTGACATCTGGTCCCTGGGCATCACCCTCATCGAGCTGGCCCAGATCGAGCCCCCGCATCATGAACTCAACCCCATGAGGGTCCTGCTGAAGATAGCCAAGTCTGAGCCCCCTACCCTGGAGCAACCCAACAAGTGGTGAGACGGGGGAGAGAAGAGGGGTGGGGCCAGAGAAGGGGGAAGAGAGGTGGGGCCAGAGAAGGGGAGAGAGAGGTGGGGCCAGAGAAGGGGGGACATAAGGAGAGCTGGGGGGGGGGGGGGAGAGCGAGGACAGAAAAGGGGGGTAGAGGTGGGGAGGAGGGGCAGTAGGTGGAAGAAGGGGAGAAATGAGAGTGAGAGGGGGTGAGAGGTGGATGAGATGCGTATGGAGAAATGAGAGAGAGAGAGAGAGAGAGAGGGGGGGGGTGAGAGGTAAGGGGAGATGGGTATGGAGAAATGAGAGAGAGAGGGAGAGAGGGGGGGGTGAGAGGTAAGGGGAGATGGGTATGGAGAAATGAGAGAGAGAGAGGGAGAGAGGTGGAGGAGAGGGGTATGGAGAAAAGAGGGAGAGAAGGGGGGAGAGGAGAGGTGGAGGAGAGGGGTATGGAGAAATGAGAGGAGAGAGGGGAGAGAGGTGGAGGAGAGGGGTATGGAGAGAGAAGAGAGAGAGGTGGAGGAGAGGGTGTATAGGAGAAATGAGAGAGGTGGAGGAGAGAGGTGGAGGAGAGGGGTGGAATGGAGAAAGGAGAGAGGTGGGGAGAGAGGTATATAGAGAAGAGAGAGGTGGGGGGAGAGGGGTATGGAGAATAGAGAGGTGAGGAGAGGGGTATAGAGAAATGAGAGAGAGGGGGAGAGAGGTGGAGGAGAGGGGTATGGAGAAATGAGAGAGGTGGAGGAGAGAGGTGGAGGAGAGGGGTATGGAGAAATGAGAGAGAGGGGGGGAGAGAGGTGGAGGAGAGGGGTATGGAGAAATGAGAGAGGTGGTAGGAGAGGAGTATAGAGAAATGAGAGAGAGGGGGGAGAGAAGTGGAGGAGAGGGGTAGGAGAAGAGAGAGAGAGAGGTGAGGAGAGGGTGGAGGAGAGGGTATGGAGAAATGAGAGAGAGGGGGAGGAGAGGTGGGGAGGAGAGGGGTATGGAGAAATGAGAGAGGTGGAGGAGAAGGGGATGGAGAGAGGAGGAGAGAGGGGAGGAGAGAGGTGGAGGAGAGGGGTATGAGAAAATGAGAGGTGGAGGAGAGAGGTGGAGGAGAGGGGTATGGAGAAATGAGAGGGGGGGAGAGAGGTGGAGGAGAGGGGTATGGAGAAATGAGAGAGGTGGAGGAGAGGAGTATAGAGAAATGAGAGAGAGGGGGAGAGAGGTGGAGGAGAGGGGTATGGAGAAATGAGAAAGGTGGAGGAGAGAGGTGGAGGAGAGGGGTATGGAGAAATGAGAGAGAGAGAGAGAGGGAGAGAGGTGGAGGAGAGGGGTATGGAGAAATGAGGAGAGGTGGAGGAGAGGGGTATGGAGAGAAATGAGGAGGGAGAGGGGGGAGAGAGAGGGAGAGAGGGTATGGAGAATGAGAGAGGTGGAGGAGGAGGTATAGGAAATGAGGAGGTGGAGGAGAGAGGTGGAGGAGAGGGGTATGGAGAAATGAGAGAGAGGTGGAGGAGAGGGGTATAGAGAATGAGAGAGGTGGAGGAGAGGGGTATGGAGAAATGAGAGACGTGGAGGAGGGGGGTAAGAGAGAATGAGAGAGAGGGGGAGAGAGGTGGAGGAGAGGGGTATGGAGAAATGAGGAGAGAGGTGGAGGAGAGGGGTTAGAGAATGAGAGAGGTGGGAGGGAGGGGTATGGAGAATGAGAGACGTGGAGGAGAGGGGTATAGAGAAATGGAGAGAGAGGGGGAGAGAGGGTGAGGAGAGGGGTATGGAGAAATGAGAGAGGTGGAGGAGAGGGTGGAGGAGAGGGGTATGAGAGAAATGAGAGAGAGAGAGGGGGAGAGGGGTGGAGAGAGGGGGGAGAGGGAAAGAAATGAGAGAGGTGGAGGAGGTTGAGGGAGAGGTGGATGGGAGAGGGGTATGGAGAATGAGTGAGAGAGGGGGGTGGAGAGAGGGGTATGGAGAAATGAGAGGGGTGGAGGAGGGTATGATGAGAGGAGGGGGAGAGAGGTGGAGGAGAGGGGTATGGAGAAATGAGAGAGGGGGGTGGAGGAGAGAGGTGGAGGAGAGGGGTATGGAGAATGAGAGGTGGAGGAGGGTATGTGAGAATGAGAGAGGGGGAGGGGGAGAGAGGGTATGGAGAAATGAGAGAGAGGGGGGGGAGAGAGGTTGAGGGGAGAGGGGTATGGGAAATGAGAGAGGGGGGAGCGGGGAGAGGTGGGGGAGAGGGGTATGGAGAAAGGGGGGTGGATGATGTATAGGTCTACATCTATCCTCCACAAGCTGGTGAACACAGCACTAAGAGTGTGTAAAGCTGTGGCTTTTCTGATCAGTTTTTATGAGGCGGTGTGTTCCATTGCTCAGCAGATGCGAGAGCTAGGGCCTAATCCCCCCACAGCCAACTGTGTACCGCATTCCTGAATCTGTTCTGTTCTAGCCTCAGACTGTGTCATGAAGTTATCTAGTGAAAATATCACCACCACCCCCTCAGTCCTTCTCAACTTCTCCCTTCTTTGATTAATGTTCCCGGCATTCTGTGTGTTTTAAGGTCACAGGATTTTAAGGATTTCCTGAAAAAGTCGTTGGATAAGAATCCGGAGAGTCGGCCAAACGCCGCACAGCTCCTGGAGGTAAGCTAGCCTCAGACACACTTTACTGTTGTATACCTCTGTCTCTGATGTATGAGGACGTTCCCCCTCTGTCCTTCTCTCACTAGTCACAGGTCCACCATCTTACTGTTGTATACCTCTGTCTCTGATGTATGAGGACGTTCCCCCTCTGTCCTTCTCTCACTAGTCACAGGTCCACCATCTTACTGTTGTATACCTCTGTCTCTGATGTATGAGGACGTTCCCCCTCTGTCCTTCTCTCACTAGTCACAGGTCCACCATCTTACTGTTGTATACCTCTGTCTCTGATGTATGAGGACGTTCCCCCTCTGTCCTTCTCTCACTAGTCACAGGTCCACCATCTTACTGTTGTATACCTCTGTCTCTGATGTATGAGGACGTTCCCCCTCTGTCCTTATCTCACTAGTCACAGGTCCACCATCTTAACCTCCCAAAACATCAGCTGTTTCAGACACGAGGAATGGTGACTTGATACGATAGGCAAATGAGCAGTACCATACAGAGGGCATTGGGGAGAGGGTGCGAGAGGGAGAGGGAGAACGTGAAAGAGACGAAGCGTCTATTAAAATGCATGAGCCACAGCTTCCTGTTTGGGTTCCACAGCAGAGGGGAATGTCAGCAACTTGCATTCCTGTTTCCAACGAATGTCGCTTTGGGATTTCTCCGTATTCTCTCCACCCTTGCCAATTACAGAGGCCCAAAGCCTGCTGGAAGTTTACAGAGGGAGATGGGAGTGGTCGTGTTCAGTGCCATACGGAAGGTTTTGATCGCTATCATACTTATGTTCCTAGCCCAGTTAAATAGCATTGATGGCAATAAGGCTCATTGAACAGCATTCATCAGCATCATCTGTGACTCATGACATACATCAGGGATCATCAACTAGATTCAGTCGCTGGACAATATTTTTTAATTTTTTCACATGTATCTATCTATTATGCGTGGTAATAATTTGGAACAGATTCGCCTCTAGGTGGTGAGGATAGTCAACAACATATCTGCCGCGCTAACCCTCAACACGGGGGGGCCTCAGGGGTGTGTGCGTAGTCCTCTCCTGTACTCCCTGTTCAACCACGACTGTGTGGCCGCACACGACTCCAACATAATTGAATTTGCTGACGACACGACGGTGGCAGGCCTGAACCCCGATGACGATGAGACAGCCTATAGTTTATCAGGGAAACATCACAATAGTGTTCGATTTGGCTGCTGGGGGGGCAAGGAGACCCCTAGCTTCGCTCAAACCATTGACAACTACGTGCTGTTTTGAAGGGATTGTAAATTAATGTTATAACTACAGTGGGGAAAAAAAGTATTTAGTCAGCCACCAATTGTGCAAGTTCTCCCACTTAAAAAGATGAGAGAGGCCTGTAATTTTCATCATAGGTACACGTCAACTATGACAGACAAATTGAGGAAAGAAAATCCAGAAAATCACATTGTAGAATTTTTAATGAATTTATTTGCAAATTATGGTGGAAAATAAGTATTTGGTCACCTACAAACAAGCAAGATTTCTGGCTCTCACAGACCTGTAACTTCTTCTTTAAGAGGCTCCTCTGTCCTCCACTCGTTACCTGTATTAATGGCACCTGTTTGAACTTGTTATCAGTATAAAATACACCTGTCCACAACCTCAAACAGTCACACTCCAAACTCCACTATGGCCAAGACCAAAGAGCTGTCAAAGGACACCAGAAACAAAATTGTAGACCTGCACCAGGCTGGGAAGACTGAATCTGCAATAGGTAAGCAGCTTGGTTTGAAGAAATCAACTGTGGGAGCAATTATTAGGAAATGGAAGACATACAAGACCACTGATAATCTCCCTCGATCTGAGGCTCCACGCAAGATCTCACCCCGTGGGGTCAAAATAATCACAAGAACGGTGAGCAAAAATCCCAGAACCACACGGGGGGACCTAGTGAATGACCTGCAGAGAGCTGGGACCAAAGTAACAAAGCCTACCATCAGTAACACACTACGCCGCCAGGGACTCAAATCCTGCAGTGCAAGACGTGTCCCCCTGCTTAAGCCAGTACATGTCCAGGCCAGTCTGAAGTTTGCTAGAGTGCATTTGGATGATCCAGAAGAGGATTGGGAGAATGTCATATGGTCAGATGAAACCAAAATAGAACTTTTTGGTAAAAACTCAACTCGTTGTGTTTGGAGGACAAAGAATGCTGAGTTGCATCCAAAGAACACCATACCTACTGTGAAGCATGGGGGTGGAAACATCATGCTTTGGGGCTGTTTTTCTGCAAAGGGACCAGGACGACTGATCCGTGTAAAGGAAAGAATGAATGGGGCCATGTATCATGAGATTTTGAGTGAAAACCTCCTTCCATCAGCAAGGGCATTGAAGATGAAACGTGGCTGGGTCTTTCAGCATGACAATGATCCCAAACACACCGCCCGGGCAACGAAGGAGTGGCTTCGTAAGAAGCATTTCAAGGTCCTGGAGTGGCCTAGCCAGTCTCCAGATCTCAACCCCATAGAAAATCTTTGGAGGGAGTTGAAAGTCCGTGTTGCCCAGCGACAGCCCCAAAACATCACTGCTCTAGAGGAGATCTGCATGGAGGAATGGGCCAAAATACCAGCAACAGTGTGTGAAAACCTTGTGAAGACTTACAGAAAACGTTTGACCCGTGTCATTGCCAACAAAGGGTATATAACAAAGTATTGAGAAACTTTTGTTATTGACCAAATACTTATTTTCCACCATAATTTGAAAATAAATTCATAAAAAATCCTACAATGTGATTTTCTGGATTTTTTTTTCTCATTTTGTCTGTCATAGTTGACGTGTACCTATGATGAAAATTACAGGCCTCTCTCATCTTTTTAAGTGGGAGAACTTGCACAATTGGTGGCTGACTAAATACTTTTTTCCCCCACTGTATTTGGTTTTAATATCATCCCCTCTTGAAGAGCATAGTCAGAACGACACATTTCAAATGATTCCACATTTAGCTCCATCATCAGTTTTATACAGCAATCAGTAAACCTCAATTTAGCATGTATTTTCGTATACATGTGAGGGCAGCCAGATCCATTTGGCATGTAGCTAGCTTGCTAATGCAAACAAGGTGTCATTTAGCTTGCTTCATCAGGGATTAGGCTTTTGGAAAGGGCTCGACGTCGTCTGCTGAAGTTGTCAGTCGGACTTCTGTCATCACTACTATAGATGGCAAGCAAATCAAACAACATTTGGATACAGTCATCTAGTTTATCCCCTGTTAACTAGCCATGTTGAAGTAATCCACATAACGATTCACATTTGCTGTTGCTGAAGGATTATTTTCCTGCTGTAGCAAACTGGCTCAAATTTAATATCCTACATCTGTAACAGTAGCATTACATGGGCAAATGCATCCTTCTGTTGCTTAATTCCCCTACTGTCACGTATCTGAAATTACATGATCAATGGATGTTTACCGATCATTAAAATCATGCATTTACTTGCTGTAGGCCTATAACGCTGATGGAGCTGCTGTTTTGCATGGAATTATCGAAAATGTGTAGTTCTGACTATGCTCTTCAAGAGCTGATGATATTACAACTAAATAATTAAAATGTATTTAACAATCCCTTGAAAACGGCACGCAGTTGTCAGTGGTTTTAGCGGAGCTGCGGGTCTCCTTGCCACCCAGCAGGAAAATCGAACGCTCTGCACCTAAAAGATTTGGCATGGGCCCTCAGATCCTCAAAAAGTTATACAGCTGCACCATTGAGTGCATCTTGACAGGCTACATCACAACTTGGTATGGCTATAAGGTGAATGCACCAATTTGTAAGTCGCTCTGGATAAGAGCGTCTGCTAAATGACGTAAATGTAATGTAAATGTATGGCAACAGCTTGGCATCAGACAGTAAGAAGCTACAGAGGGTAGTGCGTACGGCCCAGTACATCACTTGGGCTGAGCTCCCTGCCATACAGGACCTCTATACCAGGCAGTGTCAGAGGAAGGCCCTAAAAATTCTGACTCCAGCCATCCAAGTCATAAACCGTTTTTCTCTGCTACCGCACGGCAAGTGGTACCGGAGCACAAAGTCTGGGACCAAAAGGCTCCTGAACAGCTTCTACCCCCAAGCCATAAGACTGCTGGACAGTTAATCAAATGGCTACCCTGACTACTTTCCTTGACCCCCCCTCTTTATTTGCACTGACTCTCTTGCACTGGCTCTATGCACACTCACTGGACTCTACCCACACACTCACATATACTTCACTGATTCTCCTACTCCGAGCTGCTGGGGCTGTGGTGTGATGGGTTGAATCAACAGAATTACCACCATTATACTACCACCCTCTGCCAGAAAATGACTTTTCAGCTCAGCAGAAACCAAGCTTGTGGTTTTTATAACAGTTATAGAGGGGTAGCTTGTACCGTGTACCCAGGAAGTGATGATGTGTTGTTTTTAGAATCATTTCTGTTGGACATCCAGTGAGGAAGTCCATAAGTCTTAGTGATGTTTTAAAATGCTTCTCACTGTCTTACTTGATACCCTAGTACAGCACTTTGCCTGGTGGTTGTTCTCCTGTCGCCTGTGTGATAGCTGGCACTCTGCTCTCCCCTGACTCATTGGTGACTTGATTCATTTTCTGTCATTGGAGAAGTTAAAAGCTATTGCTAATGCTACCAGAGACTCAGGCAGCCCAGTGTGTCCCTTTCCTCTCACATGCCTACCTGCGCCAGCTGGGCCAATTAAATTACCCATGGTGCAAATCACCTGAATAATGGATGACTTGCTCTTATATCTTCGCTGCACTTACCTTCTCACAGCCTTGTTTGTGGCTGTCAAATTATCCCCTCTTAAACCGGCTCATATTTGTTCACTCTAAGTAAATAATTATTCCATTTTTAGCTCCGTCCAATCTAGGAACTTATTATAAGCACATGAGGATTTCGGGTAATAAACACTTCAATGTTTCATCAGGGTGAGCTCATACCCTGGTCTCTGGTATTCTTGCTAACCGCCATGGGTCGATGCAGGTGGCACATTAAGTTTCTCCTTTCAGTCCCTTTTTCTTGTTTGCTTTCTATGCCTCTGGTCACTGCTCTATGTTCTAGGGTTGTAACTTGGTTGTCCTGACTCCCCCAGCACCCCTTTGTCTGCTCGGTGAAGACCAACAGACCCCTGCGAGAGCTGGTTGCCGAGGCGAAGGCTGAAGTCATGGAGGAAATGGAGGACAATAGAGAGGAAGGAGAGGAGGATGACACCGCTGAGCTCACAGTCCCAGTGGTAAGACTTTTACTGCTAACTCTCTACTGTCTTTTATTTTATTTTGTATTTAACTAGGCAAGTCAGTTAAGAACAAATTCTTAATTACAATGACGGCCTACACCGGCCAAACCCGGACGACGCTGGGCCAATTGTGCGCCGCCCCATGGGACTCCCAATCACGGCCGGTTGTGATACAGCCTGGAATCGAACCAGGGACTGTAGTCACGCCTCTAGCACTGAGATGCAGTGCCTTAGACCGCTGTGCCACTCCTCTTCCTCTGGGACTGTGTGTGTATGTATGTACGTGTGTACAGTACCAGTCAAAAGTTTGGACACACCTACTCATTCAAGGGTTTTTCTTTATTTTTACTATTTTCTAAATTGTAGAATAATAGTGAAGACATCAAAACTAGGAAATAACACATATGTAATCATGTAGTAACCCAAAAAGTGTTAAACAAATCAAAATATATTTTATATTCTTCAAATAACCAACCTTTGCCTTGATGACAGCTTTGTACATTCTTGGCATTCTCTCAACCAGCTTCACCTGGAATGCTTTTCCAACAGTCTTGAAGGAGTTCCCACATATGCTGAGCACTTGTTGGCTGCTTTTCCTTCACTCTGCGGTCCGACTCATCCCAAACCATCTCAATTGGGTTGAGGTCGGGGGATTGTGGAGGCCAGGTCATCTGATGCAGCACTCCATCACTCTTGGTAAAATAGCCCTTACACAGCCTGGAGGTGTGTTGGGTCATTGCCCTGCTATAAAACAAATGATAGTCCCACTAAGCCCAAACCAGATGGGATGGCGTATCGCTGCAGAATGCTGTGGTAGCCATGCTGGTTAAGTGTGCCTTGAATTCTAAATAAATCACAGACAGCAAAGCACCCCCACACCATAACACCTCCTCCTCCATGCTTTACGGTGAGAAATACACATGCGGAGATCATCCGTTCACCCACACCGCGTCTCACAAAGACACGGCGGTTGGAAACAAAAATCTCTAATTTGGACTCCAGACCAAAGGACACAATTCCACAGGTCTTAATGTCCATTGCTCGTGTTTCTTGGCCCAAGCAAGTCTCTTCTTCTAATTGCTGTCTTTTAGTAGTGGTTTCCTTTGCAGCAATTCGACCATGAAGGCATGATTCACACAGTCTCCTCTGAACAGTTTTGTATTTGTATTTATTAGGGATCCCCATTAGCTGCTGCCAAGGCAGCAGCTACTCTTCCTGTGGTCCAAACATATTAAAGCACTTACATTACATATAAAACGTACATCATATGACATTATTACACCACTACCTATCTACAATACAAAATGTTTAATACCACCATACAACAATATCACAATGTGTGCGTATGCATGTGTCTATACCCTTGTGTGTTGATGTTGAGATGTGTCTGTTACTTGAACTCCGTGAAGCATTTATTTGGGCTGCAATTTCTGAGGCTGATAACTCTAATGAACTTATCCTCTGCAGCAGAGGTAACTTTGGGTCTTCCATTCCTGTGGCAGTCCTCATGAGAGCCAGTTTCATCATAGTGCTTGATGGTTTTTGCGACTGCACTTGAAGAAACTTTCAAGGTTCTTGAAATGTTCCATATTGACTGAACTTCATGTCTTAAAGTAATGATGGACTGTTGTTTCTCTTTGCTTATTTGAGCTGTTCTTGCCATAATATGGACTTGGTATTTTACCAAATAGGGCTATCTTCTGTATACCCCCCTACCTTGTCATAACACAACTGATTTGGCTCAAACGCTTTAAGAAATTCCACAAATTAATATATATACAGTGGGGAGAACAAGTATTTGATACACTGCAGATTTTGCAGGTTTTCCTACTTACAAAGCATGTAGAGGTCTGTAATTTTTATCATAGGTACACTTGTATGATTAAGTAATTAGTTTGCATTTTATTGCATGACATAAGTATTTGATACATCAGAAAAGCAGAACTTAATATTTGGTACAGAAACCTTTGTTTGCAATTACAGAGATCATACGTTTCCTGTAGGTCTTGACCAGGTTTGCACACACTGCAGCAGGGATTTTGGCCCACTCCTCCATACAGACCTTCTCCAGATCCTTCAGGTTTCGGGGCTGTCGCTGGGCAATACGGACTTTCAGCTCCCTCCAAAGATGTTCTATTGGGTTCAGGTCTGGAGACTGGCTAGTCTACTCCAGGACCTTGAGATGCTTCTTACGGAGCCACTCCTTAGTTGCCCTGGCTGTGTTTCAATGCTCTTTCTGAGGGAAGATCTCTCGATACATGGCCCCATCCATCCTCCCCTCAATACGGTGCAGTCGTCCTGTCCCCTTTGCAGTAAAGCATCCCCAAAGAATGAGGTTTCCACCTCCATGCTTCACGGTTGGGATGGTGTTCTTGGGGTTGTACTCATCCTTCTTCCTCCAAACACGGCGAGTGGAGTTTAGACCAAAAAGCTCTGTTTTTGTCTCATCAGACCACATGACCTTCTCCCATTCCTCCTCTGGATCATCCAGATGGTCATTGGCAAACTTCAGACGGGCCTGGACATGCGCTGGCTTGAGCAGGGGGACCTTGCGTGCGCTGCAGGATTTTAATCCATGACGGCGTAGTGTGTTATTAATGGTTTTCTTTGAGACTGTGGTCCCAGCTCTCTTGAGGTCATTGACCAGGTCCTGCCGTGTAGTTCTGGGCTGATCCCTCACCTTCCTCATGATCATTGATGCCCCACGAGGTGAGATCTTGCATGGAGCCCCAGACCGAGGGTGATTGACCGTCATCTTGAACTTCTTCCATTTTCTAATAATTGCGCCAACAGTTGTTGCCTTCTCACCAAGCTGCTTGCCTATTGTCCTGTAGCCCATCCCAGCCTTGTGCAGGTCTACAATTTTATCCCTGATGTCCTTACACAGCTCTCTGGTCTTGGCCATTTGTGGAGAGGTTGGAGTCTGTTTGATTGAGTGTGTGGACAGGTGTCTTTTATACAGGTAACGAGTTCAAACAGGTGCAGTTAATACAGGTAATGAGTGGAGAACAGGAGGGCTTCTTAAAGAAAAACTAACGGGTCTGTGAGAACCGGAATTCTTCCTGGTTGGTAGGTGATCAAATACTTATGTCATGAAATAAAATGCAAATTAATTATTTAAAAATCATACAATGTGATTTTCTGGATTTTTGTTTTAGATTCCGTCTCTCACAGTTGAAGTGTACCTATGATAAAAATTAGACCTCTACATGCTTTGTAAGTAGGAAAACCTGCAAAATTGGCAGTGTATCAAATACTTGTTCTCCCCACTGTGTGTGTGTGTGTGTGTGTGTGTGTGTGTGTGTGTGTATATATATATATATATATATATATACACACACACACACACACACACACACACACACACACACACACACACACACACACACACACACACACACTCTACCGGTCAAAAGTTTTAGAACACCTACTCATTCAAGGGTTTTTCTTAATTTTTACTATTTTCTACATTGTAGAATAATAGTGAAGACATCAAAACGATGAAATAACACATGGAATCATGTAGTAACCAAAAAAGTGTAAAACAATTTTTTTTTAAATTGTATTTGAGATTCTTCAAATAGCCACCCCTTGCCTTGATGACAGCTTTGCACACTCTTGGCATTCTCTCAACCAGCTTCATGAGGTAGTCACCTGGAATGCATTTCAATTAACAGGTGTGCCTTTAAAGTTGATTTGTGGATTTTTTTTCCTACTTAATGCATTTGAGCCAATCACTTGTGTTGTGACAAGGTGGGGGTGGGGGATGGGGGGGGTGTACAGAAGATAGCCCTATTTTGTAAAAGACCAAGTCCATATTATGGCAAGAACAGCTCAAATAAGCAAAGAGAAACGACAGTCCATCATTACTTTAAGACACGAAGGTCAGTCAATACGGAACATTTCAAGAACTTTGAAAGTTTCTTCAAGTGCAGTCGCAAAAACCTTAAAGAGCTATGATGAAACTGGCTCTCATGAGGACCGCCACAGGAATGGAAAACCCAGAGTTACCTCTGCTGCAGAGGATAAGTTCATAAGAGTTAGCAGCCTCAGAAATTGCAGCCCAAATAAATGATTCACAGAGTTCAAGTAACAGGCACATCTCAACATCAAATGTTCAGAGGAGACTGTGTGAATCTGGCCTTCATGGTCGAATTGCTGCAAAGAAACCACTACTAAAGGACACCAATAAAAGGAGACTTGCTTGCGCCAAGAAACACGAGCAATGGACATTAGACAGGTGGAAATGTGTCCTTTGGTCTGGAGTCCAAATTTTAGATTTTTGGTTCCAACCGCCGTGTCTTTGTGAGACGCGGTGTGGGTGAATGGATGATCTCCGCATGTGTATTTCCCACCGTAAAGCATGGAGGAGGAGGTGTTATGGTGTGAGGGTGCTTTGCTGGTGACACTGTCTGTGATTTATTTAGAATTCAAGGCACACTTAACCAGCATGGCTGACACAGCATTCTGTAGCAATACGCCATCCCATCTGGTTTGGGCTTAGTGGGACTATCATTTGTTTTTCAACAGGACAATGACCCAACACACCTCCAGGCTGTGTAAGGGCTATTTTACCAAGAAGGAAAGTGATGGAGTACTGCATCAGATGACCTGGCCTCCACAATCCCCCGACCTCAACCAATTTGAGATGGTTTGGGATGAGTCGGACCGCAGTGAAGTAAAAGCAGCCAACAAGTGCTCAGCATATGTGGGAACTCCTTCAAGACTGTTGGAAAAGCATTCCAGGTGAAGCTGGTTGAGAGAATGCCAAGAGTGTACAAAGCTGTCATCAAAGCAAAGGGTGACTATTTGAAGAATCTCAAATATAAAATATATTTTGATTTGTTTAACACTTTTTTTGGTTACTACATGATTCCATATGTGTTATTTAATAGTTTTGATGTCTTCACTATTATTCTATAATGTAAAAATAAAGAAAAACGAGAAATTAGTAGGTGTGTCCAAACGTTTGACTGTCTTTAGAATGCACTTTCATGTCCATTCAAAGCAATTGTTTCCTAAAATCCTTGTTTCATGCTAGCCTTATACAATAGATCTCAAAGTAGTTTGGATTATTCAACCAAGAATGAGTCTCATTACCAATCATAATGGGAGTGAAATGAAAGGATGGCATGTGTAGCAAAGTGTCATTTTAATGTCTATGTACAATTATAGCTGTATTGAATTACAGTACATCAACTGTTGGCAGTTTCTATGTATGGTGACTTTTCTTTTGATAGTTTCTGCTAGCACGCCCCCAAACCCCAGAATCTGCAGCTTCCTGTGCACCAGCGTGTGTGGTCTAGCGTCTGACTGAGCAGGGAAGGTGGTCAGAACAGCACTCACTAAAGTGTGGGGGTGTGTCTGTGGTGTTATGAGTACAAACACTGAGATGGGGCGGAGGACCCACACGCACATACATACACACACACACTGAGATGATAGAACACAAACACACACAAACTCAAGCACATTCTGCATACGCTGATAGTCGCACACTGCCGGGGCGACCTTGAACCCCCCCATACCCCCCCCCCCCCCCTCCCAAAACTGCCGCTATGTCCATGATGAGGACTCTATGTATGGTCTTTCTATTATTCAAACACTAAAAGGCAGTTTCTTACACAAAGATTGTTTTGGCTACTCTTAGCTCCTCCGTATATCAGCTGTCTGTCTTGTCTTCTAGCCTTATCGCTGCTGCTGACACAGCCAGAGATCAGGACACAGTCCAAATTGCTTTCACCTCACAAACAGAAACCCCCTGCCCCAGTGGGAAACGAAAGGCCTGAGAGTGCACCTTTCAGGAAACCTTAATCCTCCTTCACATACACACACGCATGCACACACACTGGCAGGAACCCACAGCATGTGTATTAGCGGTAAACAGCCATCTCAGGGTCTGGGGCCTCATTTATCAAAGGTGCGTGCACACAATAAATACTCTAAATCTTGCGTGCGCCAGTTTTCCTGCAAAGGTTGGTATTTATACATTTTGAACTCGATGGGAAAGTGTGTATCTCCACACACATTCTCAGACCATGCGCATGCGCAACTCCTAGTGGTTGATCAACTGTATTGCAAGCAAATATTGTTATTTTGGCAGAAAGGGAGGTGTTTGACGCACAGGAATTATAATAATGGTAGGTTAATAACATTTAAAACGTCTAGGCCTAATGATAAAATAGATGCATTTTCTGTTGGTTAGAAGATCGCATACCCAGTTTGCATTGCAGCATGTTGCGTAATATATTCAACTTTTATTTAATTAGCCTAAATCCTAATCATATTGCAGGGTATGTCTCTCCTTTTCTGACATGACTGGTATATTCCTGCTACACAACAAATATTAGGCTACCATTTATCCATCACTCATTCAATAGCTAACCATGCTCGAAAGTAGACTGGTAGCCTATGACAGTATGGGTAGGCTACATGGGTAGGCTACAGTATTGCTTTGTGATAGGAGCATGGCATAATAGCCTATTTAATCTGAGCCTATACCAAGGCAGGAGATAGCTTGATAAATCACAATAATTTGTTGCACACGCAAATCCTAGAATCTCCACATACGCCAGAATTTAGTAAGAAATGTACGCACGGTTGATAAATGACCCCTCCTGGAGAGCTGCCAGCCAGTTCTTTCTGGTATTAATAGCTGTAGATCATTTCTCCAGTTGTGTTAAGAGGAGCCATTCGAAAGGCTGGCAGCAGTCGTAAAGGTGGCTGATGACATTGTTTGCTTAATGCTCCAAGACAGCTCTCTGCACGTGAACCACGGGACATCAACAGGATCTGCACCTCTGTAATTATTACTGTGTGTTATTACGGAGTACATACTTATCTCAGGTTCTCAGAGCAGAGCAAAGGTGGGACGTGATGTAGGTAGGAGTTTAAACAGGAATAACTGCATTCCTCCAGACAGTACCACTAAAGGTCAACACCAGCTTTCTACTGCAATATGAAGCGAAGGGACTTTAAGACCATTAGGCATTAAGGCTGCGTCCATTTCATTTGGCTCATATTAGAGCGATCACTTTCAACATTGGCACTGAAGGTGCTGCTGACAGCCTTGCATAACAATGAATTTCTTCTCCTTTCCTCTCTTCTCCCCAGTCTCCAGGCAAGGACCCGACTCAGACCAGTCTAGAAGGGGACCAACCCACAGACACACCCTCCAAAGCCCCTGTGGTGGACGAGGCCAAACCCCCCCTAAGACCGCCCCACAAGGTCGGTGACCAGCTGATGGACCGACAGCTCCCCGACGATGGCATCAGCATCGTGGACTCAGACATGCCCGAGAGCGAGACCTCTGGCAAGACCGCCTCCGACTCGGGCATCGAGGATGGGAAGAGCACCCCCACCTCAGACGAGGGCAAGCCCGTGGACACCCCCGAGACCGAGAACCCACCCCTGCTGGCACAGCCCAAGGTGGGAGAGGTACCAGAGATACCCCAAAGCCAGGAGGAGGGCAGCAGCAGCACCACCACCCCAGACACCACACCTCTGATCGGGCTGAAAGGGAGCTTGAGGGGGGGGCCTCCGGAGAGGGCCTCTATAGGGGCCGACATGGAGAACCTGATGCCCCACCACAATGGCAATGACAGAATTTCCAAGAGGTACTCTGACGCGGGAAGCATGTCTACCTCTGAGAGCATGGACATCAGCCTCAACCTGTCAGGAGACATGTCAGTCAACAAGGATGATGGATCCCTCTCCTCCAGGGTGGTGAGTAACCCCATGTCTAATGTCACAATTCCGTTCAAAGATTTATCCAAGTCTTTTACCAAAAAGTCTCAGACTTTTAAACTTTTGTATGATTATTTTCACCTCCATGGCCAGGCTCCAGTAGCTTACTGAGCCGTGGCCTTGGCGTACCTGCTCTGACTTGGGGCGAGACCCCTGGGACTTTCCTGGCCGGCATTTTACATAACAATGGCTACCTGTGGACATTGTTAACACCTTCTCACAAAGCAACTGTTTTGTGTAGAATTGCAGGAAATTAGCTGTGCCAATTTTGCTCTGCGCCCCATTTTGCTCTGTGCTTCATGGCAAAATGAGTAGAATTGCAGCAAACTTGCAGATGGGCAACCCGATGCTTCAGCCCCATGCTTCAGCCCCATGCTTCAGCCCCATGCTTCAGCCTATTTATTTAAAGCCGCTATGCGGCATCAGTTGGTCTACAGGTTATTATGCTTTTAAAGGGGAATTTTATATTTCAGATGGTGTCAACATAATTTACTTTTCATTCATTTTAAAGTAGAATGTCCTTTCCAGAAGTGACCTTTCCATAGTCATTCTACAAAACAATCTCACCAGGGTGCCCTGACCCAAATTCAAATAGAAATGTGTGTTATAGATCTGTAATTCTCATTGAAAGCAAGTCTAAGAAACTATTTCTATGCTTCCCATTCTTAAGTTTCGTTTTTGCGTCTTTTACTTTCGGTTTTGTACAGCAGCTGAAAACAATATTTTTGGTTATGGAAAATATATTTCACAACGGTTTACATGGTACAATGATTCTCTACACTATACTTGCTTGTTTTGTCACATAAACTGAAATTAAGCAAACTATTAGAATTTTTGCAACCAGGAAATGGCGGAGTGGTTTCTGCATAGTGCATCTTTAAAGCGGCAATCAGCGATTTGAAACAATAACAAAGCGTACTGCCTGCCCTGTTTCGGTAAATAGTTGAGGGATGGGGCTCATAGACAGAGCTATGGATGCAAGGACTGATCATCCATGATATAAAAGTTATAGGTTTAACCATGTTTTGAGGCTACAGTGTTTGTTTGCATTTACTTTCTTTATAAAAGCTTATATTTTGGGTTCTGATGGGGTAGGACAGTTGAACTAAGCTCATGAGGCATTTATATGTTATATTCTTCAAGAATCAGTGGGTACATATAATTCATTTATAAGTCCAAAAATGGATGTAGCAACTGCAGATTGCCCCTTTAAACTATCCATAACCTACATTCATCCATTTTGGATCTTGTCAATCAGTCGAACTCCACCGACTACAAGCTGATATTTTTAAGTTTTCTGAAAAAAAGCTGCATTTCTAGAAAAAGAGTATCTGAGATGGAATCAGACTACTGTTCTCTGGGAAATGGACACATCCATCCTTTAATGCCAAATCTGTTTGAACTAATGCGACTCCATTTTCCTTTCATTATGACCAATGCTTTATTCAGCATTCAGAATTGTGGACGTTGATCCAATACGGCCATTGTTGCCGGGGGAGCTTCTGGTTGTTTATGGACTGACCATCACTGGAGTTCTATTCATTGTTGGACTTGTGTTCTGTTTGATATGTATTTTTTCCAGAGCAGTTTATTTGCCACTCGGCTAGATGAATGGGATTTTTGTGTTAGGCCCAGAAACAGTAAGTGTGAGGCTGTGTACAGGAGAGATGGGTAGGGCAGGGGGACCAGGGGTTTATGAATGGAGATGTATGAGAGAACCCAGATCACAGGGAGGGAGGCTAGAGCCAAAATGAGGGGCCCCAGCTGATCTGCTGCTGCAGTACAGACCCCTGGGCCCTCTGAGCATATTGGATGTGTGCTCACTTGTTCACATACATACGCACAGTGTGTACACACACACACACACACACACACACACACACACACACACACAGATGTGTCATCGCACACAGTGTCTCTGTCAAAGGTTTAGAAGAATGGCTACAGCAGGACATGTTTACTTCTCTGGTGAGAGACGTAGAGAGAACAGAGTTTGTTTAGCTGGCCCTACACACTTTCACTTTTCATTTTACATTTTTTGTCATTTAGCAGACGCTCTTATCCAGAGCTACTTACAGTTAGTGAGTGCATACATTTTTCATACTGGCCCCCCGTGGGAATCGAACCCACAACCCTGGCGTTGCAAGCGCCATGCTCTACCAACTGAGCTACAGGATTATTATTATTTCCACTAAGAACTTTGAAAGGGCCCTTTAATGTAGCCTTGTGTCACCCAGGGTCGTGCTACTCTTCCTGGGCAGAGACAGGAGTGGGTCTGGCCCAGTGACCCAGTAAGAACCAGTGTGTGGAGCCTGTCTCTCACTGTACTGGGGGTTGATAGAGCTCTGTCAGAGAGAATCTCACTTCCTGCTTGGCTCCCCCTCCCTGTGCAGCAGAGCAGCGTGATTAAAGAGGAACCTGCCCAGCAGGATCACAGTCTTACACAAGTACTGCTCTTTCCTGTCAACTGGCAGGAACTGGTACAGTGTTCTCCATACAACCCCCTTCTCCTTTAAAGAAACTAGTGTGTTGTCCTCATGTATCATGGATAAGAAACAAAACATGAAGCAGACTTTATTTCCTGATTTTAAAAACAATCCTAACGGTTTAAACAACACTGCTGCAGTCAGTCACCCAATTGTGATACTGTATTTTTACACTAAACACACACTGTGCCCCACCCTATAGTGCCCTCTTAATCTCTCTCCCTCACTCACTCACTCACTCACTCACTCACTCACTCACTCTATTCTATTCAAGGGGCTGTATTGGCCATGGGAAACATGTGTTAACATTGCCAAGCAAGGGAAATGGATAAACAAAAGTGAAATAAACAAAAAGTGAACAGTAAATATTACTCACACGTTCCAAAAGAATAGACACATTTCAAATGTCATTATGTCTATATACAGTGTTTGTAACGATGTGCAAATAGTTAAAGTACTCTCTCCCCCCCCCCCCCCCCCCCCCCCCCCCAGGACTCTCGCTTCTCCAATAAGACATTGAAGCGCACCAGGAAGTTTGTCATCGACGGCGTACAGGTCAGTGTGACCACGTCCAAGATCATCAGCGACGATGAGAAGAAAGATGAAGAGATGAGGTTTCTCAGGCAAGTCTCACTGCTTCCTGGAAAAGCCTTTATTGTTTTCTCGCTGAATCAAGTTCAGGAAAAAGGGCCGGGTCTAGCCCGTCTCTCTGTATAAAACAGGATCTCTGGTACACTGAGAGTTGAGTGCCTGGGCCGTGTTCGGATGTCACTAATGTCAAGACTATTTGGGGCATCCTAGTCTGATCTTTTCCCTTTTGAGATCAGTGCACAAATACACAAGAGGAGCTTTGTAAAAGCAGCAAGCGGCTAAACTTCATCTGAAAAGAATGATGGAAAGCTGGAAAATGAGAAATGTCCATAGATGAGACAATGGCCACATTTAGATCAGTGTGAGTCATGTGTGAACAACATGGCATGGAACATACTATATTCCTTAGTGATAAGGAAGGATTGTGATAAGTTCCAAACAGTGATAAGATATTTAGTTTACCAGTAAACACAATGTATACCAGTCACTGGTTTTATTTGGGACAAATATTTCACTATTTCGTATTACTATTATGACTCCCTAAATCCCCCCCAGTCGACGACAAATAGTTCATCTAGAAATTTAAGGGTTTACAATCAAGAGTCCAGTGTTCTGAACAGTCATTTACCCTGACACACTGCATGGTTTGAAGAACTGGAGCCAGTAGCCTAGTGTTCTCAACGCCATCTAGTGGTGATAATGTGACACCACACCCTGTGTTGGTTCATCAGTTCAGTCTATGGTTGAGACACTGTGTCAGACTAGTGATGACTCACACTTACTATCTGGTAGTCAGATTCCTCTCATCTGTAAGCTCTCTGTGTGTTGTCATCGTGATGGAGGGAGCAATGTTCTCTGTGTTGTCATCGTGAAGGAGGGAGCAATGTTCTCTGTGTGTTGTCATCGTGATGGAGGGAGCAATGTTCTGTGTGTTGTCATCGTGATGGAGGGAGCAATGTTCTGTGTGTTGTCATCGTGATGGAGGGAGCAATGCTCTCTGTGTGTTGTCATCGTGATGGAGGGAGCAATGTTCTCTGTGTGTTGTCATCGTGAAGGAGGGAGCAATGTTCTCTGTGTGTTGTCATCGTGATGGAGGGAGCAATGCTCTCTGTGTGTTGTCATCGTGATGGAGGGAGCAATGCTCTCTGTGTTGTCATCGTGATGGAGGGAGTAATGCTCTCTGTGTGTTGTCATCGTGATGGAGGGAGCAATGCTCTCTGTGTTGTCATCGTGATGGAGGGAGCAATGCTCTCTGTGTTGTCATCGTGATGGAGGGAGCAATGCTATCCCCTGAACTCTCCTCTCCTCTTATCTCATGGAGAGAATATATTCCCCATTCTGTCTTGTCATATGAAAGAGGCTGTTGTGTCGTGGTGCTTCTAACTCCAAGTCTTTTTAGGTAACTGTCAAAGTATGTGAAGTTCAAGACCTATGACAGTAAGAATATTATAACTTATATTTGAACTGTTTGTGTGTGTGTGTATGTGTCTCGTGTGTGCAGGCGTCAGGAGCTGCGGGACCTGCGTCTGCTGCAGAAGGAGGAGCACCGTGCTCAGGCGTTACTCAACACCAAGCTGGACGCTCAGAAAGAGCAAATGCAGCGACGCTTCGACCATGAGATGAACGTAGGTCTACACTCTCTCACACACACACACACACACACACACACACACACACATACATACGGACACACATACATACGGATGCACACACACACACACGGACGCACACACACGCACACACACACGGACGCACACACACACACACGGACACACACATATGGACGCACACACACATGGACACGCGCACACACACACACACACACACGATTTGCCCACCCACCCCTCATTTAGTGTTTGGGCTGATAGAGGCCTTTAGCACACACCATGGTCTTCCTTTATCTACCACCACGAATGGAAGAAATACCAGATGTCCTCCTTCCTCCATCCATACCAACACCATGATATTATCTCTCTTACTCTGTTTATTGAAGGAGGGACTCCCTGAGTTCACACTAACACCCACACACTCCTGTCACATCAACCTGTCCCTCTGTCATGTCACATCAACCTCCCTCTGCCATGTCATATCAACCTCCCTCTGCCATGTCATATCAACCTCCCTCTGTCATGTCATATCAACCTCCCTCTGTCATGTCATATCAACCTCCCTCTGTCATGTCACATCAACCTCCCTCTGTCATGTCATATCAACCTCCCTCTGTCATGTCATATCAGTCTCCCTCTGTCATGTCATATCAGTCTCCCTCTGTCATGTCATATCAGTCTCCCTCTGTCATGTCGACCTCCCGTTGGAGCTGTCTGAGGGAATCCTTTTTCTACATCCCTTCCCCTCGTCAAGAGAAATATGTCGAAGAAAACCTCCCACATGTCATGTCTGTCAATGAACAAATAAGTAACATAAAAATCTGTCAATGAACCCTTGAGCAAGGCACTTAACCCTAATTGCTCCAGGGTCGCCGTTGATAATGGCAGACCCTGGTGGGGGGATTGGGATATGCAAAAAACACATTTCCAATTTACACATGCATGTAATATACACATGAAATAGGACGAATATAAGCACCCACCAAATAATAATAATAATAATTATTATTAAATAGGGGATATTATCTCTGATACCCTTTTTTGACATTTTCCAAATTATATACAAAGAAAAATTACATTCTACTTTTTCCACAGTAACCTCTCCTTCCCTCTCCAGCTCAAACTCCTTCCAGCCCATCTGGATGACCAGGATCATGGCTACTTATGATATAAAGATGGGTTTATTTCATGGTGAACATGTTTAATTCCTTCTCTGCTCCTCCCAGGTGAAGAAGAAGAACTATGACACGGAGCTGGAGAGCCTGGAGAAAAACCAGAAGCAGACCATCGAGAAAATGGAGACGGACCACGCTGTGAGGCTCAGGGATGAGACCAAACGCATCCGCTCCGAACAGGACCACGACTACACCAAGTTCCAGGAGCAGATGAAGCACAAGAAGAAGGAGGTGAGAGGAGAGGGAGGGGAGAGAGGGATGAGGGAGAGAGGATGAGGAGAGAGAGGATAGGGAGAGATGGTGAGGATAGGGGAGGGGGGAGGGGGGGAAGGAGGGAGGAGGGAGAGGGGGGGGGAGAGGGAGGGGAGGGGAGAGGGAGGGAGGAGGGGGGAGGGGAGGGAGGAGAGGGTGGGAGGGAAGGGGGGGGAGGGAGTGGCGAGGGCGGGGGAGGGAGAGAGGGGTGGGGGAGGGGAGTGGGAGAGGGAGGGGAGGGAGGTGAGAGAGAGGGGATGCAGGGAGGGGAGGGATGGAGGGGGGAGGGTGGGGGGAGGGAGTGAGGGGAGGGAGGAGGAGGGTAGGAGTGAGGGGGGGGAGAGGGAGGGAGGAGGAGGGTGGGGGGGAGGGTGAGAGGGAGAGGGGAGAGGGAGGAGGGGGAGAGAGGGTCGGACAGAGGGTGGGGGAAAGGGAGGGAGGGTGAGGGGGGGGGTGGAGGGGGAGGGGGGAGAGAGGGGGAGAGAGAGGGAGGGGAGGGAGGGGGGAGGGAGGAGAGGGAGCGGGGAGGGAGAGAGAGAGGGGGGAGGGAGGCTGGAGAGGAGGGGGGGGAGGGAGAGACGAGGAGAGGGAGGGAGGGAGGGGGAGGGAGAGAGGGAGGGGGGGGAGGGAGGAGGGAGGGGAGGGGGGAGGGGAGAGAGGGGAGGAGGGGAGGCAGGGAGGGAGGGACTGTGTGGTGAGAGGAGGGAGAGGGGTGGTGAGGGAGGGAGAAGGAGGGGAGAGGGGGGAGGGAGGGAGGGGGAGAGGAGGGGGGGGAGGAGAGAGGGTAGGGAGGGAGGGTGAGGGGGGGGAGTAGAGGGTGGAGGGTGGGGAGGGAGGCGGAGGAGGGGGAGGAGAGGGGAGGGTTGGGAGGGTGGGAGAGAGGGAGGGAGGGGAGGGAGGGGGAGAGAGAGGGGAGGGAGGGGGAGAGAGAGGGGGGGGAGGGAGAGAGAGAGGGGGGGAGGGAGAGAGAGAGGGGGGGAGGGAGAGGGGAGAGGGGGAATGAGTGTTTACACATTTTACTATACTTAAACCAACTAAAATTCAGAGTAGTGTGGACTTCACTTGTAAAAAGGCTATTTCTGGCGTAGGGGTTAGGGTTTGGGGAAAATAGGATTTTGAATGGGAATCAATTGTTGCTCCCCAAAAAGTAATCACAAGTATAGTAAAACGTGTGATGAGTAAAGAAATGACAGAAGTATTAATATTAAGTCCATGGATTTTACAATCATCTTTACAGGTGAAGAATGAGGTTGAGAAGCTCCCCAGAAAGACACGGAAAGACGCCTTGAAACAGAGAATGAACAGCTTTACACAGATGAAGCAAACGGAGGTAAACAAAAGCTGTTTTCTTTCACTCTCACTGACCTCTAAATCCAGTTCAAATGCTAACGGTAGATACAAGCTATAATCGCACATTAACGTCTCATCACTTCCTGTTTCCTGTGCTTCAGGAGCAGAACTTCCTGTCAGCCCAGAAGAACCACCTGGACACAACGCTGAAGAGCATCATCTCAGAAAACAAGAGGGATATCTCAGAGACGGAGAGGCAGTGTCTCGACAAGAAACAACACCTCATCAGAGGTACAGCATCAGACACGCTTGATGTCTGGGTGCCATCAACACTTATCAGAATGACATTAGCTGCTCCTCTGAGAGGTGTCTAGTCAGAGCCCCTTCACAGGGAAGACAACTCCCTGAGATCGGTTAAAGTACACCCTTGATCTTCTGTTCAAGCCCTCTCCTCCTCAATAACTTTTAACAGATGTTTACTCATTCAGAGTGATTACACTCTCCCCTCACATAGGTCAATGTAATATCCCTCTTTCTCTTATTTCAACTGCTTTCAAAAGTCTTATCATTCACTCTCTCTACGTTTTGTCCTCAGAAAGGGAAGCTACTATCTGGGACCTAGAGGAGAAGAACCTTCATGAGAAGCACCAGTTGCTGAAACAGCAGCTCAAAGACCAGTACTTCCTCCAACGCCACCAGCTGCTCAAGAAGCATGAGAAGGTACAGTATAGTAACCCTGTCAAGAAGCATGAGAAGATACAGTACAGTAACCCTGTCAAGAAGCATGAGAAGGTACAGTACAGTAACCCTGTCAAGAAGCATGAGAAGGTACAGTACAGTAACCCTGTCAAGAAGCATGAGAAGGTACAGTACAGTAACCCTGTCAAGAAGCATGAGAAGGTACAGTACAGTAACCCTGTCAAGAAGCATGAGAAGATACAGTACAGTAACCCTGTCAAGAAGCATGAGAAGGTACAGTACAGTAACCCTGTCAAGAGCATGAGAAGGTACAGTACATAACCCTGTCAAGAAGCATGAGAAGGTACGTACAGTAACCTGTCAAGAAGCATGAGAAGGTACAGTACAGTACCCGTCAAGAAGCATGAGAAGGTACAGTAACCTGTCAAGAAGCATGAGAAGGTACAGTAACCCTGTCAAGAAGCATGAGAAGGTTACAGTACAGTAACCCTGTCAAGAAGCGATGAGAAGGTACAGTACAGTACCCTGTCAAGAAGCATGAGAAGGTACAGTAACCCTGTCAGAAGCATGCAAGGTACAGTAACCCTGTCAAGAAGCATGAGAAGGTAAACAGTACAGTAACCTGTCAAGAGCTGAGAAGGTACAGTACAGTAACCCTGTCAAGAGCATGAGAGGTACAGTACAGTAACCCTGTCAAGAAGCATGAGAAGGTTCAGTACAGTAACCCTGTCAAGAAGCATGAGAAAGGTACAGTACAGTAACCTGTCAAGAAGCATGAGAAGGTACAGTAACCTGTCAAGAAGCATGAGAAGGTACAGTACAGTAACCCTGTCAAGAAGCATGAGAAGGTACAGTACAGTAACCCTGTCAAGAAGCATGAGAAGGTACAGTACAGTAACCCTGTCAAGAAGCATGAGAAGGTACAGTACAGTAACCCTGTCAAGAAGCATGAGTACAGTACCTGTCAAGAAGCATGAGAAGGTACACAAAAAAAGTTAAAACCCTGTCCAAGCAGCACATGAGAAGGTACAGTTACGTAAACCCTGTCAAGATAGCATGAGAAGGGTACAGTACAGTAACCCTGTCAAGAAGCATGAGAAGGTACAGTACAGTAACCCTGTCAAGAAGCATGAGAAGGTACAGTAACCCTGTACCTAAAGCCTCAAAACAACCCCTGACCTTTGCAAAATAAATGTGTGTGCGCTTATCCTCATCCGTACCTATGCTATGACTGTCTCCCCAGGAACAAGAGCAGATGCAGTGCTACAACCAGCGGATGATTGAGCTGCTGAAGGCCCGGCAGCAACAGGAGAAGGGCCGCATGCCCAAGATCCAGCGCAGCGAGGGCAAGACCCGCATGGTCATGTTCAAGAAGAGCCTCCGCATCAACTCCACGGGTAGCGCCTCGGAGGACCGCGAGAAGATCAAACAGGTACCAGACAACTACAGAACGGCTGGGTGGAGAGAGGGGGAAGACTGCGGTTGGAAATGTAGGAAAAAAATCAAACTGTTGAAGTGTAGCCATAGGATGGAGTCTAGTGTAGGTTAGAGGCAAGAAGATAAAGCAGATAAAGTTGAGTAATGTGATTAAGGCACCAGGGGGCAGCAGAACCAACCAGCCAGCCTGATGAATACCAACAGGAACACACACGATACAGTACAGCTTTCCAACAAGTAAGTTCGTCAAATCTCTGCCCTGCTAGAGCTGCCCCGGTCAACTGTAAGTGCTGTTATTGTGAAGTGGTAGGCCACACAAGCGCACAGAACGGGACTGCCGAGTGCTGAAGCGCGTAGCGTTGGCTGGAGTGGTGTAAAGCTCGCCGCCATTGGACTTTGGAGCAGTGGAAACGCTTTCTCTGAAGTGATGAATCACGCTTCACCATCTGGCAGTCCAACGGACAAATCTGGGTGAAGTAGGAATAATGGTCTGGGTCTGTTTTTCACAGTTCGGGCTAGGCCCCTTAGTTCCAGTGAAGGGAAATCTTAACACTACAGCATACAATTACATTCTAGATGATTCTGTGCTTCCAACTTTGTGGCAACAGTTTGGGGAAGGCCCTTTCCCGTTTCAGCATAACAATGCCCCCGTTCACAAAGCGAGGTCCATACAGAAATGGTTTGTTGATATCGGTGTGGAAGAACTTGACTGGCCTGCACAGAGCCCTGACCTCAACCCCATCGAACATCTTTAGGATGAATTGGAACGCTGACTGCGAGTCAGGCCTAATCGCCCAACATCAGTGTCCAACCTCACTATTTGAATGGAAGCAAGTCCCTGCAGCAATGTTCCAACATCTAGTGGAAAGCCTTCCCAGAATAGTGGAGGCTGTTATAGCAGCAAAGGGGGGACCAACTCCATATTAATGCCTATGATTATGGAATGAGATGTTCGACGAGCAGCTGTCCACATACCTTTGGCCATGTAGTGTTTATCGTATTCATATCACAGAACTGTATCAGGCCTCAGTTGTGTAAACTAATCTCTCATCCCTCTGTCCTCCTCTTTCCCTCGTTGTGTGTGTGTGTGTGTGTGTGTGCACCTCCCCAGTTTGCCCAGCAGGAGGAGAAGCGTCAGAAGGCTGAGCGGCTGCACCAGCAGCAGAAGCATGAGAGCCAGATGAGGGACATGATTGGCCAGTGTGAAGGCAACATCAGGGAGCTGCAGCAGCTACAGGTGACCACACCCCCACAGTACACCTCTGTCTCTGTCTCTGTCTCTGTCTCTCTCTCGCTCTGTCTCTCTCTCTCTCTCTCTCTCTCTCTCTCTCTCTCTCTCTCTCTCTGTCTCTGTCTCTGTCTCTGTCTGTGTCTCTCTGTCTCTGTCTGTGTCTCTCTGTCTCTGTCTCTCTCTCGCTTGTCTCTCTCTCTCTCTCTCTCTCTCTCTCTCTCTCTCTCTCTCTCTCACTGTCTCTCTCTCTCTCTCACTGTCTCACTGTCTGTCTCCAATGCCTAAAGGGGGTGACATAAATATACAATGACATGTAAATCCACAAATTCAGTGGGTTTGTAAAGAAAATACATTCCACAAGTATTGCTTTAATATTATTGTGTGTGTGCATGCAGAATGAGAAGTGCCACCTGCTGATTGAGAACGAGACTCAGAGGCTCAAGTCTCTGGATGAGCAGCACAACCACCAGCTCAAGGAGTGGCGGGAGCAGCTCAAGCCCAGGAAAATGGTACAATGCCGTTATCCAATGGAATTGGTTTGGTCCCAGACAGTTAATATCATTGACATTGAAAAGTTGTAATATGTAAGTTAATATCCAGTACTGTTGTTGCCATTGCTTTGATCTCTCTCTCTACCCATCTCCCCCTCTCTTTCCATCCCCCTCTCTTTTCCCTCCCCCTATTTCTCCCTCTTTATTTCTCCCTCCCCTTCTCTCTCTCTCCACCCTCTGTCTCTCCGCCCTCTCTCTCAGGCTCTGGAGGAAGAGCTGAACCAGAGAAAGAGGGACCAGGAGGACTTCTTTAAGATGAGTGAGGACTCCGAGTGCCTGAGCCCCAGCTCCCCAAACAAACTCACCAAGTTCCTCCCTTATTCTGAGTCCTCTACTACGTAGACTGGCATCTCTTCCCCTCTAAACACCCTCCTATCTTCCTGTCAGGACCAACCCTAACCTCTTATCCCACATTATAACCTGAAAGACCACTGCCAGATGCCTCAGCCTCACCAGAAATGCTTGACTAGGTAGTCCCCCTCCTGAACTTTTCTTTCATTTTTAAGAAATATGTATGTTTTAAGTCCTGTTTATAACATTTTATCGTTTGATTAACCCAAGTTGTCAAGGCTTGGTCATATTTTATTTGGAAGATTGTCTTTAATTCCACGTGTGTCAGGCTGCTTGATAGATAGGGTCTTCTTCATCCACGCAGTGTTTCCTTTTTAATTCTATTTTTTTATAGTCTAAACCCATTGGTTTACTATGTGACCAATAAGCATGAGGCTAACCTATAGTTAGTCAGGAGGCTGTGGTGAGGAGAGGCATCCCATATCCCAAAGAGGGTCAGCTGGGGAACAGTGTTTTGGGTGCAATGTCGAAAATAAGGCAGAAATGGACTTCAGACAAAGCTGTGTTGGTGGGAGCCAATGAATTAGCATTTTTGTCTTCATCCAGAGTCTCTCGCATAATGAACACACCCAAATATGATAATTCAGTCTCTCTTACTCTGCCATTGTGTGGCTTGGCTCAACAGCCTTTTAGTTCAAAGCACATGCTTTCATGTCCAGAACGCAGATGAGTCATTCCACCAATAAGGTGCCTTTTTTTAGTAGTGTAATTTGTAACCAAAAATAAAAAATAAATGATTTCACAAAATTTTAACATTCTATCCTAAAGAGCAAATGTTCAACTTAACAAAAAAAGTCAAGAGGTTAAATACAACAATAACTGTAGTAAGTACATATTAAGTGCCACATAAAGTAACAGGGTTGACGACTTCATATTAAATCAGCCATGAATCCCCTTGTGACAGGGCGAATGGAAGCTTGTTGTGTGCAACAGGGAGGGGCCATTGAATGCAAGATTCACCCCAAAAAATGAATTGTTAGAAAATGTCTAGCCTGTCTATCTATTGGTAACAGGGTTGGTGTTATTCTCGACCTGCTCAGTTTTCCACCACAAAACACAAGCAAATTGCCAAAAAGAGTAGAACCAGCTCACCTGCTTTTACACTATGATTTGAATATTAGATGTTCAATGTCTCTTTAGAAAGAAATATTTAAAAAGGAATAGTTTCACCATATTATAACGAGAGTTCAGTTCACATAACAGGGTTGACATTAAAAAGAGGGATGCTTTATTTTATTTTTATACCCATGAATCACTAATAACATGAAATAAATTATCTTCAGAAAATAACTAGGGCTTTACAATAATGGTTAAAACCTGGAGACATTTTGGGGTTAAGTGGGTTAAAATCTTCCTAGAGGTCATATCAAAGGGATGCAAAAGGGACTCATTTCGTGGAACGACCCAGATTTATTTAGTTGCCATTTTTTACTTTTGTTTATATTACTTTAAAAAGATCAGAACAGAGCATGATCTTCAGAATTCAGAGGATAGTGAAAGAATGGAATTCCCGCTGAAATTATTTTTCAGCGCTGTACATATTAACCTAAAAATGCTGAAAAGTCTTCTGTCAGATCATGTGTGGATTGACAGATCTGCTTAGTTAGTTTTACCTTTTTTATTTTGATGAGATGAGCTTACAAATACTCAATGAAAATGGGAGAAGTCAGGGAATTTAAAGGTTGAAGAACAAATGATTGTTTTTGGAGTTCTAGGAGATGTAGGAAAGACTGGTTGTGACTCATTTATTTCTGGGCTGCATTTTTACTGTAAAGGCGATACAAGCACACTGGATGGGAACTAACGAAGCCAAATCGGAATACTGTCGTCTTCTTTGAAGGAATCTTAAAAGATCTAAGTTTGGAATTGTAATTAAAAATGTATTATTAAGGTTATTGATTGATTGTTTCTATGTTTATATTAAATGCGCTGTCAGCTAACCAAAGTGCAATGACATTTTTCAGCTTTAAACTGATCTTTTTCCTCCACTTTCTTTGCACTGAGAGGGGTATACTAGGTTATTTGAGGGAGTGCATCATTGTTTTTTCATGATTCTGTTTTGTAATTATTTTTAAAGACTTTTTGAAGTTAATATGTATCCGTCTGCTTCTGAACATGGGCCTTGTTTTCTGACCAACTAGACCTGTTTAATGTCCAGTAATCAGGTCAACTATCAGGTACATCCACTCTCTTTCTCGCTAGCTCACCAACTCCCTCTTTCACAATATGTATTTTAATTTGTTTGAATGTTTTTCTCTTCTGTTGTCATTTGTAATGACTGCAGCTTTTCCTCTGTTGAACTGTATTTGTAAGGGGTGTGAGTGACTGTTCAGCAGAAGGAACCACTGTTGTACATACGTCTAATAAAGGCAAATGTTCTTCTGTCTACTTCTCCTCCACCATTATGGCTTTAATGTTTAGGTTGCATCCGTTTACTCAAAATACTAAGAAACATTTCCAAGGAAAACCAAGACACCATACAAAAATGGAAAATGTTTATTGACTTAATATGAAAGAAGAGACCATGAAAGGAAATACACACAAATAAGAAAAGAAATAAAAACAGTACAGTACTAAGATGGGATATCTGCAATTTGAAGTGGGGTGGGGTGGGGTGGGGGGGATTGTCCTGCTGCATATCTCAAAGAATAAAGAAAAAGCAGTTTCTTCTTTTAACATTTATTCAATTGACCTGTTTAGGGTAAAGAATTACAAAGACTAACATCCCATATTGTTTGCTTGCATTGCAGTGTTCACATCCCTGCTTGCCTTTCTCTTTATGCAAACTGTAGAATACATGAGTTTATCCAACTCTCATTCCAACCCTTACCCAATCCACCTTTCACTCAGACATTCCACTAAGTCTGGGCTTACGCCATGTGTTGATCATTATCATTACAAATCTGACATTATGAATATCATGACTTTTCAAGTGCACTATGCACACTGGCCAAAAGACTGAACACCTCAAGTAACTTCACTGTTAGCAATGTTGGTTACGACCAGACACAGGCACTAAGACCTTAAAATAATACACTTGATTGCACTTAATTTATCAGCCATTGAATGACATTGGACCTAGTCCTCTAACATAAGATGATTCAGAGGGGAAAATGGGGAGAAAAAAAAACCCTCATAGCAACTAGGAGCAGATCAACCATATTCAAAGACTCTCCAATGAACCTGTGAGCTACTGCCACTCCTAGCCTTGTCTGTGCATCTCCTAGGAGATGAACCCCCTCTGAGTTTCCTCACATCAGCCTTTTCATATGACCAACTACAACATCCAAAAAACCTTCATTCCGCTACCGTACGACTGACTGGACCCTATTTCCCAATGACCAGACCTGGCAAGAGGTGAAAAGTAAACAAAAGGTGACAACAGCTGACATTACTTCATTCTGGAAGTACAATAACTACTTTGCTGAGTCTGTGCTTGAAACCAGTCAAGCACTAATGTAAAACATTGAATAATGATCACACTTTATATAGTGTTTTATATTTGAGCACTGTTTTGGAGATAAAGTGAGGCTGTATATTGTACTGTATCATTGCACAAATCACAGGTGAATTCCCTAATTTACAGGCTGTAGTAATGGTAGACCTTGGCCTACAGCATAATTATGGAATATTGTATTTACCAGAAGCAGCCTGATGTAATCTCTACTTGAATCAGTCATTCTTACTTGTGTGTTTTTCACCATCGTACTGTGAACACCAGGGAAGGGGTTCATTTCAATGAAGTCAATTCAGTCCATCCTGAGAGGAGGTGAACTGGATTAACCCTGGTATACATTTCCCAAAGTCTTGCTAAGACCTAATTTAAGGTTTTAAAACATGGCTATGGCTTTCATTTGTACACTACTTTCTCTGTCTGTTAAGCCACAGTGTGAAACCTGAACCGTCTGAATAATCTGAAAAGTGCACATCTGTTAAAAATTAACCGCAACATTATTATGCAGTTCCGAAAGGAAAAAGAAACACGGTTCACAAACACATGAAAACTGTATAAATGTTTCATATAAGCACTTAGAATCACTTGGCAAAAACTCCTTTTGAAGTGTTGCTATTTTAGTTCTTGAAAAACTAAATGTCCTCTTGAACTTCCCTTGTAACCTCCGTTGCAGCCATAGTAGGAGGAGGGATGTTCTTTGAGGTATCTGAGTATACATGGCCATCTAGGATCTGATCTAGGATCAGGTACACCCTGTTCATGTAATCTTATTAATTATGATCTAAAAGGCTAAACTAATCCTAGATCAGCACTCCTACGAGAAACTTTGTGAATACGGACCCTGGTTCCTCTATCGTATGGTCTGATTTATTTTCCATATGCATTGCACTGTCAGTTTCGACTCTAAAGTATTAAAAATGTATGCACTCACTAACTGTAAGTCGCTCTGGATAAGAGCGTCTGCTAAATGACTAAAATGTAAAATGTACTCATTAGACTGAAGCATCTTTGATATGCTAACTGAGACACTAACTAGCTAAATTGCATATATTTAAGCTTAAAGCACTTTGAATATTATACTGAGGCACAATATCATAGAAGGCTTGGAAGGACATATTTTGTTCTATTACAAAGCTTGTGATATATATCATAAAATGACATTATAGGCTTGAGTAACATAATGTATGGCACAAAGTGAACATGAAAGGGAAATTTGCTTGTCCCGGATTTGATGCCTGGTCATTTGTAACGAGGATAAAACATTTAAAAAATAAAATAAACGCGTCATTGCTGGTTAATTCTCGCTTGAATGCTAAACAATGGAATGTAAAAAAGTAACAAAAAACAGCTACATTTAAAAAAAGGTACCTATAAATAAAAAAAAGCTAATTAAATACAATTAGTGATATATTTCTGTATTAAAAAAGCCAACAGAACCTGGTACCTAGGGTTTCTTGGTCAGGTAATTGGAGGGGATCCAGCCCTCTTTCATTGGCCCTTCTCCTATATTTTTACAAAACCACCAGCCGCTGCTGTTCCTCTCCATCACCTCGAACACGGTGCCCTCCTTGAAGCTGGCAGTCTGATCGTCGCCCTCAAAGTCCGCCACGGCCAAGAACAGCTCCTCTTTACTGGGCTCCTTGATCAGAGGAGGCAGCTTGTCCCTCGGAGGGCCTGGTTTCTCACTCTTAAGCAGGGGCTTTGGGACCACCTTCTCCTTGTCTTTGGGTGGGGGCAGTACGAAGGCCTTGGGTTTAGGGGGAGGGGGTCTGCTGAGCTGGGTGGGAGCAGGCTTTGTGTCTGGGAGCTCTTTCAGGGGGGCTTTGGTTTCTGTGGGGCTGGACGGCTCAGAGGTCTTTTTGGGTGGAGGGGGTCTCCTAGGCAGGACGGCGGGTCTCCCTGGAGGTTCTTTGTGTGGGGAAACAGCAGATTTGTTGGGGCTCACGTATCCGTGGCCATTTTGCTGCTTGGGGGGGAATTTGGGCTCGTCACTGGCCTTGCCATTGTAGAGAGCACTGGGGGCCAGGGGCATCTTGGGGAGGGCATTGATAGGGGGGCTGTTGGGATGCGGCATCTTGGGGAGAACATTATTAGGAGGGGGCATCTTGGGTAAAGCATTATTAGGGGGGAGGTTGGGTGGCGGCATCTTGGGGAGAATGTTGCTAGGGCCGTTGTTGGCTGCAGTGCCGTTTTGCTGGCTTGGCTCTGCTGATCCAGAGCCTGGTTCAACTGGCTTTGAAGGCTTCAGCTTGCTCCTCAGGTTGGTGATGTCCAGCTTGTTGTCAGCTGGCGGTTCTGTCTTGGCAGCTGGGCCGGGTTTGGGCCGGACTATAGGTTTGGGCTTCATGAACAGTGCAGGGCTGGCGACCTCTGGTTTCTCCTCCGGTGGATCAGGCTTGGGCTTGGGCGGTTGCTTAGCCACATGTTTCAGGTTGAACTTCTTCACCTCTTTGGCGGAGACCTTGTGACCACACTCCAGACCCATCTCATTCTTCAGATGCAGAGGCTTGTTTGCGACCTCTCTCTTGGGCTCGGGGGGCTTGTCGGGCTTGAAGGGGGCAGTTTTGGGGGTGAGCAGGGGCATGATGACACCAGGGGCTGGGGGTTTCGGAGGCATGGGTTTGGATAGGTCTGGCCTGGGTTTCTCCACAGTAATCTCAATGTCCAGGCTCTTGTTGATGGACTCCCTGCGAGGTGGCAAGGCTGGCTTCTCCTCAGCAGGTGGGGCAGACGGGGCGGGGGGCAGGGGTCCGGAGAAGGCTGATGCAACCTTACTGGCGCTGGACTTCCAGTCTCTGAGCTTAGGCCGGGCTCCAGACTCGCTGCTCGCGGTGGGCTCGTCTGGCAGCGGTTTGGACCAGCTGTCCTCTTGCCCTGCACCACCATCCTCCAGCTTCAGCTGGGCCATCTCGTTGGGCAGAGGTGCCAGGAAGTTAGGGCGCGGGTGTCAAACTGGTCTTTTTGTATTTGTCGATGAAGGTAATGGGGGCCCAGCCCTCTTTGTCTTCAATCTGAATGTACCACCAGCCACTGGAGTTCTTCTCTATCACCTGGACAACAGAAACAGGGGATCAGTGAGTCAGTCAGGGAATCAAGACACAGCAGAAGTTGTACTCAGTGAGTGCATTTTGTGAAGCATCATTAAAATCCCCTTACATTTTACATTTACATTTGAGTCATTTAGCAGACGCTCTTATCCAGAGCGACTTACAGTTAGTGAGTGCATACATTTTCATACTGGCCCCCCGTGGGAATCGAACCCACAACCCTGGCGTTGCAAGCGCCATGCTCTAACAACTGAGCTACACGGGGGTCTTCTATTCTGATTGTAAATAATTGCTGTTTGTGAAATGATTGGCTTTTGAGTGATTAAGGAGAAGTAGAATGAGGTCTTAAGTCTCTGGGATGTTTTGCCTTACAAAGTCATAGTGAAAGTAGAGAAAAGTGTTGAATATTAGTGTGTCGGTTTGAAGAAGCGTCTATGTACTCCCTGTGACCAGAGACCCACGATATGTTATCTGGAGCAACAATAGGACAAGAAGTGGAAGTTGGCCCAAGAGCTATAGAACCCAGACGAGACAAGGAACTGGGCCCAAGGGCTAGGGAACCCAGACGAGATGAGGAACTGGGCCAAGGGATGTTGAAACTATTGAAATGTCTGAAAAGGTCTTAAATCAGGGTGATGGGGCTAAGTCAATCACAGTGGAAAACTGCTGAAGTATAACATTGTATGGGAGTGGGGGGAGCTTTGCTATAAGAGAGTGCTGCGCCACTAGCTACGTATTCAGCTGCGTCACTCGAGGGGCGCGCATTACAGCTGTTGCGTCTTTGGTATTAAACAATTGAACTTCCCTCTGAGTTTTGACTTTTTTGTGGTAAACAAATGTATTGCATATTGAATCAAACTTATCAATTCAATCTGAAAGGTTTCTCTAGGCGGGAGATGGTAGGCTGTTCGCCATCAAACAATAACCATCTACCAATGTGTGATGAAATGTGACGTGTGTCTCACCTCCACTTTGACCCCAGCCTGGAAGCTGATGCCATCTGGGATGGTGGTCTGGAAGTCTGCAATGGTGTAGAATTCCTCCTCCACCTGGGGAGGGGTGGGCGGCTTGGGCAGGTTCTGCCCCCTCGGCTAGAGGGAGGGAGAGAGGGAGGGTGTGAAGAAAGAAAGAGTGGGTCAGTACGAGACTTGACTTGTGGCAGATCAACACATCAAATCAATGCAAAACTAATTTAGTCAAATGTCTTTGTTAACGAGTGTTGATGGTGTCGCAGGATGTGTGGTTAAGTGGTTGGTGGAGGGCACTTACGATGGTGAGATCTCTGCGTGGTGGTGGTCTCTGTCTCGCCCCTTGTTCTGTAAGGGAAAAGACAGAGGATATCAGACTCCAGTGAGCTGCATCTCTGCACAGCCCATCAGTCTCAAAACACTGCCTGCATTGACATCAACTCCTCAGAGAGAGAGAGATAGAGAGAGAAACAAACATGGTATAGAGGAGACGGACCCACTGGTTGCCCTCTAGGTTACACAGAGCTGGTAGTCCCATCCACCAAACTACCAGGTGTGAAACAGGGAAGGGACTCAGGGGGTATGCTAATTTGGTATAGAGCAGACCTAACTCACTCTATTAAATTAATCAAAACAGGAACATTTTACATTTGGTTAGAAATTCAAAAGGAAATTATCTCAACAGAGAAAAATGTCCTCCTGTGTGCTACCTATATCCCCCCACTAGAATCCCCATACTTTAATGAAGACAGCTTCTCCATCCTGGAGGGGGAAATCAATCATTTCCAGACCCAGGGATATATACTAGTCTGTGGCGACCTAAATGCCAGAACTGGACAAGAACCTGACAACCTCAGCACACAGGGGGGCAAACACCATCCCCCATATGCCCCCCTAGGCACAACTACGACAACATAACCAACAAAAACGGGTCATGACTCCTGCAGCTCTGTCGCACACTGGGTATGTACATAGTCAATGGTAGGCTTCGAGGGGACTCCTATGGTAGGTACACCTATAGCTCATCTCTTGGCAGTAGTGCTGTAGACTACTTTATCATTGACCTCAACCCAGAGTCTCTCAGAGCATTCACAGTCAGCCCACTGACACCCCTATCAGACCACAGCAAAATCACAGTCTACTTGAACAGAGCAATACTCAATCATGAGGCATCAAAGCCAAAGGAACTGAATATTATTAAGAAATGCTATAGATGAAAGGAAAGTAGTGTTGAAACCTACCAAAAAACAATTAGGCAACAACAAATTCAATCCATTCTAGACAACTTCCTGGACAAAAAGTTCCACTGTAATAGTGAAGGTGTAAACTTGGCAGTAGAAAACCTAAACAGTATATTTGACCTCTCAGCTTCCCTATCATATCTAAAAAATATCTAACAGGAAACAGAAGAAAAGTAACAACAGTGATAAATGGTTTGATGAAGAATGCAAAAACCTAAGAAAGAAACAACCTAATAACAGAACAAACAGCAAAAAAATATACATGATCAAATGTAAATCTTAGAATCAACTATTAAAGACTACCAGAACCCACTGGATTCTCCAATTACATTGAATGAACTACAGGACAAAAAGGCCTGTGGTGTTGATGGTATCCTCAATGAAATGATAAAATATACAGACCACACATTTATATTAGCTATACTTAAACTCTTTAACGTCATCCTTAGCTCTGGCATCTTCCCCAATATTTGGAACCAAGGACTGATCACCCCAATCCACAAAAGTGGAGACAAATTTGACCCCAATAACTACCGTGGGATATGTGTCAACAGCAACCTTGGGAAAATCCTCTGCATTATCATTAACAGCAGACTAGTTCATTTCTTCAGTGAAAACAATGTACTGAGCAAATATCAAATTGGCTTTTAACCAAATTACCGTACGACAGACCACGTATTCACCCTGCACACCCTAATTGACAAACAAACAAACCAAAACAAAGGCAAAGTCTTCTCATGCTTTTTTGATTTCAAAAAAGCTTTTGACTCAATTTGGCATGAGGGTCTGCTATACAAATTGATGGAAAGTGGGGTTGGGGGAAAAACATACGACATTATAAAATCCATGTACACAAACAACAAGTGTGCGGTTAAAATTGGCAAAAAACACACACATTTCTTTCCACAGGGCCGTGGGGTGAGACAGGGATGCAGTTTAAGCCCCTCCCTCTTCAACATATATATATATCAACGAATTGGCGAGGGCAGTCTGCAGTCTGCAGCACCCGGCCTCACCCTACTAGAATTTGAAGTAAAATGTTTAATGTTTGCTGATGATGTGGTGCTTCTGTCACCAACCAAGGAGGGCCTACAGCAGCACCTAGATCTTCTACACAGATTCTGTCAGACCTGGGCCCTGACAGTAAATCTCAGTAAGACAAAAATAATGGTGTTCCAAAAAAGGTCCAGTTGCCAGGACCACAAATACAAATTCCATCTAGACACCGTTGCCCTAGAGCACACAAAAAACTATACATACCTCGGCCTAAACATCAGCGCCACAGGTAACTTCCACAAAGCTGTGAACGATCTGAGAGACAAGGCAAGAAGGGCCTTCTATGCCATCAAAAGGAACATAAAATTTGACATACCAATTAGGATCTGGCTAAAAAATACTTGAATCAGTTATAGAACCCATTGCCCTTTATGGTTGTGAGGTCTGGGGTCCGCTCACCAACCATGAATTCACAAAATGGGACAAACACCAAATTGAGACTCTGCATGCAGAATTCTGCAAAAACATCCTCCGTGTACAACGTAAAACACCAAATAATGAATGCAGAGCAGAATTAGGCCAATACCCGCTAATTATCAAAATCCAGAAAATAGCCGTTAAGTTCTATAACCACTTAAAAGGAAGCGATTCCCAAACCTTCCATAACAAAGCCATCACCTACAGAGAGATGAACTTGGAGAAGAGTCCCCTAAGTAAGCTGGTCCTGGGGCTCTGTTCATAAACACAAACAGACCCCACAGAGCCCCAGGACAACAACAACAACAACAACAACACAATTAGACCCAACCAAATCATGAGAAAACAAAAAGAGAATTACTTGACACATTGGAAAGAACAAACAAAAAAACAGAGCAAACTAGAATGCTATTTGGCCCTAAACAGAGAGTACACAGTGGCAGAATACCTGACCACTGTGACTGACCAAAACTTAAGGAAAGCTTTGACTATGTACAGACTCAGTGAGCATAGCCTTGCTATTGAGAAAGGCCACCATAGGCAGACCTGGCTCTCAAGAGAAGACAGGCTATGTGCACACTGCCCACAAAATGAGGTGGAAACTGAGCTGCACTTCCTAACCTCCTGCCAAATGTATGACCATATTAGAGACACATATGTCCCTCAGATTACAGCGATTTTGATAAACTCCCTTATCTACTGGGTGAAAAAACACAGTGTGCCATCACAGCTGCAAGATTTGTGACCTGTTGCCACAAGAAAAGGGCAACCAGTGAAGAACAAACACCATTGTAAATACAACCCATATTTATGTTTATTTATTTTCCCATTTGTACTTTAACTATTTGCACATTTTTACAACACTGTATATATACATAATATGACATTTGAAATGTCTTTATTCTTTTGGAACTTTTGAGTGTAATGTTTACTGTTAATATTTATAGTTTATTTCACTTTTGTTTACTATCTACTTCACTTGCTTTGGCAATGTTAACATACGTTGCCCATGCCAATAAAGCCCTTAAATTGAAATTGAAATTGAATTGAGAGAGAGAGATTAGATGCAGACTGATGAGCTCTATAGACCGGGGCCTTCGGCTCTCTAACTATGTGTAATGGATCCTCACTAATGGAGGTGTAGTTGTGGGAGGCATTCAGCTCCTCAATTACTTACTAAGAAATAAAGGGAGATGTTTTACATTACTCTGGCATTGAGTTAGAGAGCCTTGCAGAGAAACGTCTCTGAGGGAGTAGACTGAGGAGGCATCTCTTCTACAGATGAGATGTCTTGGTAACACTTTACTTAAGCCTGCATGTATACGGCTTTATTACTTGTTAGAGGAAGATAAGTGATTCCAATGACATCATCAACCAATTAGTAGACAATTAGTAGGCAAAGCCTACTCACGCCAACGATGTCATTGGAAACACTTATCTTCCTCTATCTTTTTTACTACAGAACATCGAAACACACCATTTTCACATGATGTATGTTGATGTTGGTATATAAATATGAAGTTGAGCATTTTTGAAAATCTCCTTTAAAGCCTGCAGGTAGGCATTATTCAAAGACATTATAAAGCCTCATACATTTTCACATAAGTTGATGTTGGGGTGGTGCTGAAGATGATGAATATTACGTTTTTAAAATGTGAAATTTCCCATGAAGTAGAGAGTTACAGTTGTTTGTTGTTAAACAAGTTACTGTAGTTTACAGTTGTTAGTTCCCACTCACTGTGCTGCTTGGCGAAGGGGGAGAAGCCCTTTTCTTTCTGGTCCTTGTTGTCTCCTCTGCTCTCCTTGGCTCCTTGGTTCTGCTGCTTGGAGAATCCGTCCAGATCGTTGGTGCTGGCGTGGCCCGCCGCCAGCTTCTGGCTCAGGATGTCGGCCTTCTTCAGGTAGGACGCCGGGGCCCAGCCCTCCTGTCCCTGGTACCTGTAGAGAGCAGCAGAGAGGTTACGACTACAATAGAAAGAAACACAACAACAACAACTACAAAGGCCTTATTTGGTACAAAGGGAGCAACCAACTCTGACACACATACACATTCATACACTAAATTACATTCACATGCACACACAGCCTACAGACACGTTCGTAGGGTTCTGTGTTTTACCTGATCTTCCACCAGCCCTCCAGGTTCTTCTGGATGACCTCCACCGTCATGCCACTTTCCAGGTCGATCTCGTCTTGGTCTCGCGCTGCGTACGGGTAGATCACTGTGTACTTCTCCTCTGGAAACGGCAAAGAATACATGACATTAGGTGATGTATTTTTTACGTCTAGCATACTAACTTTCACAAGAACGTCAATCAAGCAGATGGAATCAACAACTTGGCAGGGACAGCACATGATGGCATGTTGAGAGCGAGTAGTTGGGACTAATCTCTTTTGACTATCTATGGAAAACAATTGATAGTGTTCTTTCCTCATACCAAATCCTAAAACCCTAGCCTCCCACTATCTGCTAGTGAATGTAGTGTGTTAGCCCCCAGTACACCACTCCCAGATCATAAACTGGTAACTGGTCTAAACCAGGGTAACAGTGAGTGTGTCCTTGTAGACAGAGCCTGGGCAGGATCTATCCTGTGGAGTGAGAAGATGTGCAACACACATCATGCAACACAAAACATCTCTCCACCAACATTAAGCACACACAAACAAGACAGCATTACAACTAAGATTACAAAACCTACTTCAAATAGATTAGGTTTTAATACCTAATCTATAACGGGTCTGTTTTAAGTCAACTGAATTAAAGTGATTGTTAAACAGATAGTGTATTTAGAAGGAACAAACAATTTAAAATATATCATATTAATTTCACTGAAATAACAAAGTGAGAAAAACTGAGCTTTTTCCCGCTGCATTCCATCGAGAGAACAAATAATACAAACATAGCGGTAGCATCCATTCTAACATAGCGGTAGGATCCATTCAAACATAGCGGTAGCATCCATTCTAACATAGCGGTAGCATCCATTCTAACATAGCGGTAGCATCCATTCTAACATAGCGGTAGCATCCATTCTAACATAGCGGTAGCATCCATTCTAACATAGCGGTAGCATCCATTCTAACATAGCGGTAGCATCCATTCTAACATAGCGGTAGCATCCATTCAAACATAGCGGTAGCATCCATTCTAACATAGCGGTAGCATCCATTCTAACACAGCGGTAGCATCCATTCTAACATAGCGGTAGCATCCATTCTAATCCATGCCACACTACACACGTGCATGTCTTGCATCACTCTCCGTGCTTGGGTTGGTTATGCACAGGATTTGCATGCTAAACATGACATTCTACACACACATGACGATTAGGGGGAAAAGAGGCGTGCGCTCCACCTTGCCCAAAGCCTGTGCCTGTGCTGAACAGATCCCCTAATGTTCGCCGGCGGCCCACGTGTTTCAGCAGTGACCAGTATCTCCAGGACACTGACGCAGAGCACAGTGGGCAGCAGGAAGTAGGAAGTAAGTACACAGGAAGTGAATACTCCGCTTTGTGTTTGGTTGGTTCTAATAGACAGACAGTGACAGCTGATGGTGATTAGAACTGTGTGAACAGATGGAATGTCAGAGGTCATTTTCCCTTTGGTTATCTGGGTCCTCTTCCCACTGTTATCTTGCAACAACCCCCCCCCTTCCACACACAAACACACAATAGTATTTTGTAATGCCAATACAAGTACTGTAGAGATTTCAAGAGTCTCTGAGCATCCTGTTTCCAAGATTTATTCATTACAGTTCCACATTTCTCCTACATCTTAATCAATGACAGGACGCATACTATTTTGCATCATTATGACTTGGCAGCAAGCCTTGAGCTGTTGACTCTCAGACTGTGAGCTGTGACCTAAGCCTGCCAGCGTTGATCTGTAGTTACAGTTTGTTTTGATTCTGAATGTGGCCTAGGGCAGTGTGACAGATGGAGAGAGTTACCTTCCTCGCCGGGCAGGGAGAAGTCATCAGGGTCATCCTGGGCCTCCAGGCAGGTGGCAGGGACCCAGCCCTGGGCCTCGTCTGAACTAACAAACCACCAACCTGCACACAGAAAGCAAAACACACACAGAAACACAGAACAGTCAGACACACAGCAGAGGCTCTCTCTGGGTCTTGGATTGGCCTTGTCTGTTTGGAAGGTTCTGAAGACAACGTGATACCTTATTCTGCTATTTGGCAGTTGTCTGTTTGGAAGGTTCTGAAGACAACGTGATACCTTATTCTGCTATTTGGCAGTTGTCTGTTTGGAAGGTTCTGAAGACAACGTGATACCTTATTCTGCTATTTGGCAGTTGTCTGTTTGGAAGGTTCTGAAGACATCGTGATACCTTATTCTGCTATTTGGCAGTTGTCTGTTTGGAAGGTTCTGAAGACAACGTGATACCGATTAGTTACCGGAGTGTAACTCCAGTTCTATGAGTGGAGCGGAGCCCCATAGGGGAGCTCTGCTCCTAGTGGTTTACCCTCTGCCCTAAGGCAGCAGCAGCCTGAGACAAAATTATGCACACACCTACAGCCAATAGGAGTACAGGTGTCCCTATAAGAGGGGGTGCCTCCCCTCAATCAGCCTCCCGAGATATTTTTCTTCAGCGAGACTAGAGAGGGTCGGCAGGGCCTTAAGTCCTATGGGGCTCCGCTCCACTCATAGAACTGGAGTTACACTCCGGTAACTAATCGTTCTATATCGTGGAGCTCCGCCCCATAGGGGAGCTCTGCTCCTAGTGGTTTAAGGCGGAGCGTAGCGCTCCAAAATGTACTCCCTGCCGAGCCTAACACTTCCCATCGAAACGAGAAAGTCAAGCCTAGCAATGGCTGCAACCGAGTCCCGCAGTACTGCAACTAAAAACCCCTACGGGCGTCACAATATACCGCGTCATCGGTTAAAAGACCCGCCCCACCTAGTCCAATGGCAATGCCAATGACTAGTGGGCAGATCACCAGAATAGAAGCCATACTAATCTGTACTAGCAGATACATGTGCCTCAATATCCTGTGAAAACACTACCGACCACTAATGGAATGACACCAAGTGTCACTCTATATTGTAACACGGTAGACCGCCTCACTCACTCAATGGAATCCCAGAGATTAGTGGGCAGGAACAAAAACATGAGTCATACTAACTGAAGAAGCAGATAGATGACCTCACATTATGTTAATCAACGCATGCCTCTACTGTACTGACCCTGTCAGTCAGGATTCATGCCACAAAATATGTTTTCTTATCCAAAGCGGACCTGATGGAAACCCTGTCCATAGTCCTGCTTTTCCCTCTCTTCCTAACTCCAGATCTCCCTTCAGCTATGCTGAGTACAGACCGAGCCAAAGAGTTAGAAAACACATCTGTCAAAAACACGTCTTTCTAACCAAAGCGGACCTGATGGAAACCTGTGTCCACAGTCCTGCTTCTCCTCTCTTTCTTGCTCAAGATCTCCCTTCAGCCACGCTGAGTACAGATCGAGCCAGAGAATTAGAAGACATATCTAAGAGATAGAAACGGATAAATGGAGACGGCGTCGACCAGGATGCTGCTCTACAGATATCCTCTACTCCTGTTCCTCTAAAAAGGGCAGTAGAAGCCGCTACTCCACGAGTGGAGTGAGCTCTGATACCCTGAGGCAATTGCCGCCCTGCTACCTCATAAGCTGTCTCAATGCCTTCACAAAGCCAGTGAGACAGCCTCTGTTTTGAAAGTGGTCTACCTAGTGCAGCCGCACCGTGACACACAAACAACTGAGGCGATGACCTAATCGCTGCTGTGCGCTCGACGTAACACGCCAAAGCGCGTACCGGGCACAGGCGATGGAGCTTCTCCTCACTCCTCTCTCTATGAGGAGGAGGAGAAAAAGCCCACAGCTCCACGGTCTGTGACCTATATGAACTCTTAATAACCTTAGGCACAAATGCCGGGTTAGGACGTAACACTGCTCTGCTCAGGTCACCATTGATGGCCAGGCAGTCAGGTCTCGTCGAAAGAGCACACAAATCACTGACCCGCTTAGCTGTAGTCAAAGCGAGCAACAGTGCTGTCTTGATAGACAGCATCTTGAGGGGTATTTGATTCAATGGCTCGAACGGCGACTTACATAGCGCTTCGAGTACCAAAGCCAAATCCCACTGAGGAAGCGTGACTCTAGGTGTTGGCCTAAGTCGTCGCGTTCCTAATAGGAAGCGTTTCACTAGAGGGTGACTAAAGACAAACCCTCATGACAAGCTGAAATCGCTGCTGCAAACACTCTAATCGTGGCAGGCGATTTTTGCTTATCAAACATAAGCTGCAGAAAAGAGAGAATACTCTCCACCTGACAGCTCATGGGGTCCACACCTTGTGTGACACACCATCGTGAAAACACGTTCCATCTACTGGCATACATCTTAGAAGTGGAACTGGCACGTGAACCCTGTATGGTCCTGATCACTGCATCAGATAACCCACGGCGCTCTAGCCTGTCCCTCTCAGCAGCCAGGCCTTCAGTGGTTGGCCGATTATGGGCAATTTCCCTATCGTGCCAGCCGCCTGAGACAACGCGTCCCGTCGACGTGGAATTGGCCAAGGTGGCGCAATCAACATCTGACTCATCTCCGCAAACCACGGAGCCCCCGGGCGATCGGGCGCTATCAGTATCACTGACAGCCCCCCTGACCTCACCCTGGCTAGCAGTGGGAGAATGCAGGACAGTGGAGGGAATGCATACAGGATAACTCTCGGCCATGGTTGGTGGGCAAAGGCGTCCCTTCCCAGTGGCGGTTCGTCCTGTTCCCTCAGAGAGAACCACAGAGGACATTGCGCGTTCACGCGTGACGCGAATAGGTCCACCTCGGCTCTCCCGAATTGTTCCCAAATCTGGAGAACAATGTCTGGATGCAGACACCACTCGTCGTCTCGAGGACCCCCTCTTGACATGAGGTCTGCTCCTACGTTCAAGTAGCCCGGAATGTGTGCTGCTCTCAATGAGCGAAGGTGCTCGTGAGCCCACAGCCACAATTCCTCTGCCGCCCGATGAAGAGCAGGAGACCTGACTCCACCCTGGCGATTTATGTGGGCTACTGTGGTCCGGTTGTCTGACCAGACCAGCACATCGCGACCCCGAAGGGTAGACGCGAAGTGGGTCAGAACCAGTCGAACCGTTTCCAACTCCAGGAGGTTGATGTGACGACCTGATTGAGGCCACACACCTCCTATCGCTTGTGTCTGACATGTCCCTCCCCATCCCGTCAGGGACGCATCCGTGAATACTGGGATGTGAGAGGACACCTTTCCTATCGGGACTCCGTGCGTGAGAACGCGCGAGTTTCTCCAATAGTTTAGGTCTGCACTGAGCGAGAGGGGAACCACCACCAACCGATGACGTTGACGCAATGGGTCTAGTCTTAGTTGGGCGAACCATCGCTGCGTCCTGCGCATGTGCAGGAGTCCCAGCGGAACCACAGAGTGGGCTGACGACATGAGACCCAAAAGTGACATGATCGACAGCGCCGTCACCGTGTGATTCGGACGACACTTCCTTAGGGCTAGCAACAAGGCTACCCTTCGGGGGTCCGGAATTCGAGCCCTCATCCTCACAGTGTCTAGCTGTATCCCCAGGTAGACAATCTGATGAGTGGGCCAGGGCGCGCTCTTTTTCCAATTCACAGCAAACCCCAGACTTGTGAGATGCATCACTGTCTGTGTTGTGTGAGTGATCGCCAGCTCTGCTGACGGGGCGAGAACCAGTAGGTCGTCCAGGTAGGCTAGTAGCCGTATTCCCTGACGACGCAACGGTTCCAATGCCGCCTCCACACACTTGGAAAATGTGCGAGGTGCCAGGGCGTACCCAAATGGCATCCTCGTGTATTCGTACGCCACCCCTTGAAAGGCGAACCGCAGAAACTTCCTGTGACGCGGCTGAACCGGCACATGAAAGTACGCGTCCTTTAGGTCTATGCTCGTACAAAAGTCCCCTCTCTGGACACATTCCAGCAGACGTTTTGTCGTTAGCATTCGGAAGGGCCGTTTGGTTATGCTCTCGTTGAGAATGCGTAAATCCAAAATCGGCCTCACTCCCCCCGTCTTTTTGGGCACTAGGAAATAAGGCGAATATAGCCCTTTGTTCCTTTGCTCCCGGGGAACTACTGTCACCGCCTCCTTCGCCAAAAGTTCTGTAATCTCTGTCATCAGAGCGGCCACTTTGTCTGGCATTTTCATCACCGTCTCCACCACTCCCCTGAACGGGGGTGGGGTCCGGTGGAATTGGAGAGCATAACCCTTCTGCAACGTCTGTTCTAGCCAGCGTGAGAGGGTGCAGCTTCTTCGCCACTGCCAGCAATGCAGAGAAAGTGGCTGGGCGCGAAGCTGTGGTGCATCCAGTAGGAAGGACCTGTATTCCTCTATGGCCCTTACCGCCACTGTTCCCCAACATTGAAGTGGTGGAACAGCCCAAGGTGGGCCTCCCGTGAAAGGGAGAGGAAATGCGTTCTGAGAAAGAAAGAGGAGTAGGGACGTCGGTTAAACCCGTAACCGTCGTATTCCTGCCCTCCTTGAACGCATCGCGGGTCTGAATTGCACTGACCGAGGCCACAGCCTGCGGCAGGGCACCATCCCCAGCAAGCGATTGCGTCATCTTAGGTGACTGCAATTCGCTATCAGAGCCCTTCACTACAGTACTCCTAGAAGTCTGTAGTATGAGGTCTCTATGAGGTAAAACAAGGCGGCGCCTTGATACCTTCTTAACTTTCACCTTCTGTGTGTGTTCAACTCTGCACCCCTGGTGGGTTGATTCACGCTCAGTGTGGTGAGTACTGGCTCGTTCTGTCAGGGGAGCTGATACTTTGGTTATACCCATAACGCTAGTAATCCTGCCCTCCGTGAACGTAGCATGGGTCTGAATCGCATTAACCGAGACCTTGGTCTGCGATAATGCGCCGTCCCCAGATAGCTGCTGTGTTACAATGCCTGGGGGCGCCGATACTCTGGGCACCTTGGTGACCGCGATAATCGGGCCCTCTGTGAACGCAGCATGGGTCTGGCTCGTACTAGTGGAGACCTTAGTCTGTACTAGTGCGCCATCCCCAAATAGCGGCTGCGTCCTCATGTCAGAATCTGACCGGGACTGCTGCCTTCTATGTAAAGCACTTCTTATACGTGAAGTGTGATGTGACGACCTGATTGAGGTCTTCTGGATACCTACTCTTAGTGCCTGTTCAGCAACGCACCCTCGGTGGGCTGAACGGCTCTTAGAGTGGTAAGGAAGAGAGGGTGAGATTTGAACGCTCTCGGACGTATTATGGAAAAGAGGCTCTTTTTTGACAAAGTCAGGTGGAGCCAACTCTTTATTAAACACATCAACAAAAGCATTTACATCAGCACCCGTCCCTTCAACCGAAGGGTGGGGGGGAACAGTGGGCGCGTTCGACACCATCGATGCGTCCTCCATCCTCTCCCCCGCGTCCCGTCACGTACGCCTCCTCTTGCCTCCCTTGGAGGGCCAGGTCGGCGTCCTCGTCACCTCCCTCGCCGGCTGTAGTGGGGCTACCGTAGCTGCTGGGAGGGCCGAGCCCGCTCCCTTGCTGCTCGTGGCCGCCAGATGACGCCGATTACGCCGCCTCGTCGTAGACCCCGGTCTACTTAGAGGGGCGGAGGTAGATGGCCTTTGGGGAGGAGGGGGGCCGAGTCGTCCTGCCAACGGCAGGTGCTTGGCCAACTGCTTCTTCTCCTCCTCCAACTTCGAAAAACGCTCCGTCGCCTCTTTGACTGCGACCCCAAAGAGGCCGTCGTCAGAGAGGGGGGCGTTCAAGAGAGACGTCCTGTCTGCCTCTTTCATGGAAGTCAAAGACAACCAGAGGTGTCGTTCCCCGACCACCGAAGTGGCCATGGATCTCCCCGCGCAGACTGCGGATGCCTGTGTAAGGTGGAATATGGCGCCAGAAATTCTGGACGCCTCCTCCACCTCCTCCGGTGCCATCTCTGTCTTACCCGTGGTTAAACGGGACAGAGAGGCCGCCAAGAGGGCAATGTTGTTAGCTGCTGCTACAGCTTGGGCTCCCAACCCAAAAGACTTCTCTAACAGCGACGCTGTGAGTCGGTCCTTCTGGGATGGCAACGTGGCCTTCTTGGAAGAGGGCCAAGGGCTCGAACCCGGTACGAGATACGCCGCCATGGCGCTCTCTAACCTGGGGATTCCCTGACCCTGAAGCCTTCCTTCCACTCTCGTGAATGGGAGATACGCTTTTACAGGCGAAACGCGCCGCTAAAGGTGCCTCCCACGAGCCTCCAACGTACCTAGCCAAAGAAGGCATGGCAGGAGCCACTGGCTCTGCCGCCTTCCTTGGCCTGGAATAAGGACCGCCCTCCATCATATCAACCTCCGGTGCGGAGGGAAGAGGGGGCAGCTCTATTGCCAGCCGTTGAGCAGCTCTCTCAATGAGACCCGGAAAATCCGCTCTCAGAGAGGCTGCAGCGAAAGAGAGAGCTTCTGATCTCTCAGAGCTCGTATCCCCTTCGCTATAGGGACTACAAGCCCTCTCGCTCTCCAAAGGAAAGGGGGGCTTGAAAGTATGAGGGACGGGGTCCGACTGTTCCATTGGAATGCCAGACCCTTCCTCAAAATCCCCATCTTCCCCCGAGTCTGCGCCGTCGGACGACGCCTCTGAAGCAGAGGCTAGTATCGACAACACATCCTCAAGGGGGATGTCCTCCCTGAAAAACGCCCAACGCTGCTTCCTCTCCTTTAAAGAAAGGAGGGCGCAGGAGGCGCAATTCGGGGGACTGCAGACGCCTTCCTTGGCATGCTGGGATCCCAAACACACGAAACATAAGTCGTGGTGGTCACCGGCCGCCATGGAAGTGCATCTGCACTGAGCTCTGAAAAGAGCTTTTGGGGGTGGAAATTCTCCCGGTGTGCTCATTTAGACGACGTTGATGACTGGAATATCAACAGCGTTTTCGTCCTGAGTCTTCGTGCTTCGTCTCTTCTTGGCTCTTCAGTCTAGTCAGCGAGGCTGATTGAGGGGAGGCACCCCCTCTTATAGGGACACCTGTACTCCTATTGGCTGTAGGTGTGTGCATAATTTTGTCTCAGGCTGCTGCTGCCTTAGGGCAGAGGGTAAACCACTAGGAGCAGAGCTCCCCTATGGGGCGGAGCTCCACGATATAGAACTTATTCTGCTATTTGGCAGTTGTCTGTTTGGAAGGTTCTGAAGACATCGTGATACCTTATTCTGCTATTTGGCAGTTGTCTGTTTGGAAGGTTCTGAAGACATCGTGATACCTTTTCTGCTATTTGGCAGTTGTCTGTTTGGAAGGTTCTGAAGACAACGTGATACCTTATTCTGCTATTTGGCAGTTGTCTGTTTGAAAGGTTCTGAAGACATCGTGATACCTTTTCTGCTATTTGGCAGTTGTCTGTTTGGAAGGTTCTGAAGACATCGTGATACCTTTTCTGCTATTTGGCAGTTGTCTGTTTGGAAGGTTCTGAAGACAACGTGATACCTTATTCTGCTATTTGGCAGTTGTCTGTTTGGAAGGTTCTGAAGACAACGTGATACCTTATTCTGCTATTTGGCAGTTGTCTGTTTGGAAGGTTCTGAAGACATTGTGATACCTTATTCTGCTATTTGGCAGTTGTCTGTTTGGAAGGTTCTGAAGACAACGTGATACCTTATTCTGCTATTTGGCAGTTGTCTGTTTGGAAGGTTCTGAAGACATCGTGATACCTTATTCTGCTATTTGGCAGTTGTCTGTTTGGAAGGTTCTGAAGACCTTGTGATACCTTATTCTGCTATTTGGCAGTTGTCTGTTTGGAAGGTTCTGAAGACATTGTGATACCTTATTCTGCTATTTGGCAGTTGTCTGTTTGGAAGGTTCTGAAGACATCGTGATACCTTATTCTGCTATTTGGCAGTTGTCTGTTTGGAAGGTTCTGAAGACAACGTGATACCTTATTCTGCTATTTGGCAGTTGTCTGTTTGGAAGGTTCTGAAGACATCGTGATACCTTATTCTGCTATTTGGCAGTTGTCTGTTTGGAAGGTTCTGAAGACATCGTGATACCTTATTCTGCTATTTGGCAGTTGTCTGTTTGGAAGGTTCTGAAGACATCGTGATACCTTATTCTGCTATTTGGCAGTTGTCTGTTTGGAAGGTTCTGAAGACAACGTGATACCTTATTCTGCTATTTGGCAGTTGTCTGTTTGGAAGGTTCTGAAGACATCGTGATAGCATTATGTAGTTGTCTTGGTACACCTGTATCTTAGGCGTTCCTTCAAGTATGATAACATTCTTTCAGTTGATTAGGGCAAAAACAGTTAGAGACAGTGTGATGTCTTTATAAATTACGTTAAGGGCGCCAGGACTCCGGTTCTGTCCCAAATGGTACCCTACTCTCTTTATAGTGACGCATACGCACACAAGCGCTAGCACACACACTCTACACACACATACATTGTAATATTGTTGTATGGTGGTATTATACATGTTGTATTGTAGATATGCAGTGGTGTACAAATACAAATACAAATAGTGGACTAGTTTTGACCAGGGCTCATAGGCCCACCACTATATAGGCAATAGAGTGCCATTTGGGGCACAACCCTCAGTCGTTAAGCTAAAGACTCCCTCCATCTGACCCAGGTCTCGTACCAGACTCATTCTTCTCGATGACCTCCACCGTCTGTCCCACGTGCAGGCTGATCTCAGAGCTCTCCTGCTTCTCATAGTCAGTGACGGCCACATACTGGTCCAGGAGCAGAGGGTCAGCTGCGCTGGAGTCTCCTGCAGGGAGGGGCACAGAGCACACAGACAGACATGTAGCGCTGACCCCTCTACCTGCCACCACACGACAGAGAGCAGAGCGAGCCAGAGGGGGAGGACGAGGACGAAGAGGAAGCAGATGTGATTTTAGAAAAATGGTGGTCAGAGAGCAGAGGGAAGGAGGGTCTGAGAGGGAGATGTTGGGAGAGAGGACAGGACAGGAAGGAGGGTTTGCCAATCACAAACATGGCTGCCACAGAGACAGAGACAACCCGCCACAAGGACACCCGACACCTACACTACCACAACGCTGTAGGTTAGCACAACAAGAGGACCTGCTCTGTGATGTGCACTTGGTGGGATGATTACCAAAACTAACTGTGGAATGCACTCATAATATCCTCTAAATTCACAACCGTACAATCCCAAAAAGGATTCCATCCAGAAATTGAGCCTTGTATTTACACCATCCTGCATCAAGTCTCTAAATTAATCGTACAAGTAGGTGCTTCCAAACTTACTAGATATTATATATTATGAAAACTGTCATGTCTGATACCCCACGACACAGAATGAGGAGGGTGTTGTTGTTGTTGTTGTTGTTGTGGTACCGCATGCACATCTATCAAGGTGACAGTTAATTCCCACAACCAAGACAGGGTTGATTTCAGCACAGTAGCAAAGGGAGTTGGGCGGGGTGTACAGTAAGACACACACCATCTGGTGCTCTCTTGACAAAGCTAACACACTGCCATGCACATCACACAGAGTGAGCACCAAGCTTGTCCCACCCTGCCCTCTCTACCACAACCTTCCCTAGCCTGGTCCCAGACCTGTATTTGCGTTGGCTGAAACAGAGGTGTTGGCTGAGCACATACAGATCTGGGACCAGGTCCTTCCACCGCTCTACTCTGCACTGCCCAGTCCCACCTCAGACCCACATCCCAGCTAAAGGCCCAGCAGACAGGGGCCTGGTAGGGGCCAGGTAAGGGCCAAATGGATGGCTAGCAACCCGGGGCCACACACAGAGCACGGCCAAGCATGAGTCTGTTACTACCTCTCTTTAGGAAAGTAGTCGCTCTCTCCACAATGCCTGATGGAGGAAAATGAAGGAAATTGAAACTGAAACTTGAAACTTGACATGGATGGGTTGGTTAGATTAACAAAGAAAGGGAAAAACTCTTTACAAAAAACACTTTTTAGAAGTAATGGTATGTATCTAACTTCAAGAAATTAAATATATGATTGACCTACTACAGTCTTACTACAATCCTAAATCTTTACATACAAATCTTTTTCGAAAATAATGGAGCGCATATCCAACATCACAGCTAGAGGGCGCTCAAATCTCAGTTGAGAAATGTAGTGAGGTAGTAAGATACTACGGCTGGAAATGTTTTCTCCTAATTCATGTTTCTATTTCACGTCAGTGCTCATCCATATTATATTTTCTACATAAAGTACATACAACAAACACTTATCTAGTCTCGTGTAGCTCAGTTGGTAGAGCGTGGCGCTTGGAACGCCAAGGTTGTGGGTTCAATTCCCATGGGGGACCAGTATAAAGATGTACACACTCAACTACTGTAACTTCCTCTGGATAAGCGCGTCTGCTAAACATAAATTGCAATTACAACTTACCCCAAAATGGAATACAAAAGTGGCCTTACCGCACTTCTTCTTTCCAATGGGTTCCCTGTAAAAGAGAACAAAGCATTAGAAGAAGTACCTAACTTAAAGAGCCAGCAAAGGAGTTAGGAACTTCTTATGACATGGAAACCCTTTGTAATTATTTCTACCTACGGATTATGTCTCTGAAACCTCTGAAAATATAAAATGTTAACCCTATGAATAACCACACATATTATATTTATTTCATTCATGTCTTTTCAAGTTTTGGGACTCACTTTGAAATAAATACTTTGATTTGGTCTACTCTACTCTCCTTTTCAATCACGTTCAAATCTCAATAATGCATTTGTTATGCTAGCCATGCAGGCTCTCCAGTCTAGATGAGCGAAACTAAACTCTGTGAGATTCATTGCATATCTACAGATGTGTTGCTCCAGATGAAAGGGGATATGGTTGATAGTAGGACTGTGCGATATGTCCAAAACATCATATCACTATTGTTTTCCCATTGTTTATGGTATGGCATACCGCCATTAAGGTCTTTTTTGTTTCTGAGTAATAAAAGTTAAATATGTAAATATGTTTTATGAGTAGTGCATGACCCTAGGATGTCAACAAATTAATTCTAAGCTCAACACCCACAAGGCCGCGGGCCCAGACGGTATTCCAGGGTGCGTTCTCAGAGCATGCGCAGAACAGCTGGCAGGCATATTCACGGTAATTTTCAACCTCTCCTTGTTCCAGTCTGTAGTCCCCACATGTTTTAAGATGACAATTCCTGTTCCTAAGAACTCTAATGCTTCATGCCCCAATGACTACTGTCCAGTAGCTTTGAGAGGCTGGTTATGGCACACATTAACTCCACCATCCCAACCACCCTAGACCCTCTCCAATTTGCATACCGCCCCAACAGATCCATGGACGACGCAATCTCAATTGCTCTCCACACTGCACTCACCCACCTAGATAAGAACAATACCTATGTGAGAATGCTGTTCATTGACTACAGCTCAGCGTTCAACACCATAAGTTCCCTCCAAGTTAGGCACCAAGCTTAGGACTCTGGGTCTGAACACCTCCCTCTGCAACTGGACTTCTTGACGTGCCGATCCCAGGTGGTGAGGTTAGGCAACATCACCTCCACCACGCTGACCCTTAACACAGGGGCCCCACAGGGGTGTGTGCTTAGTCCCCTCCTGTACTCCTTGTTCACCCATGACTGTGTGGCCACGCACGACTCCAACACCACTATCAAGTTCGCTGACGACACGACGGTGGTAGGCGTGATCATCAGCAACGATGAGTCAGCCTACAGGGAGGAGGTCAGTGACCTGGCTGTGTGGTGCCGGAGCAACAACCTCTCCCTCAACATCAGCAAGACCAAGGAGCTGACCGTGGACTACATGAAACAGGGGGGAGAGCAGGTAGACAGCTTCAAGTTCCTCGGTGTCCAAATCACTAAAGACTTAAAATGGTCCAAATACACACGCACAGTCGTGAAGAAGGCGCCACAGTGTCTCTTCCCCCTCAGGAGGTTGAAAGAGTTTGGCATGGGCCCTCAAATTCTGAAAAGGTTCTACAGCTGTACCATTATGAGCATGTTGACTGGCTGTATCACTGCTTGGTATGGAAATAGCACCGCCTTCGATCGCATGGCGCTACAGAGGATTGTGTGGACAGCCCAGTACATTACTGGGGCTTAGCTCCCTGCCATCCAGGACCTCTATATCAGGTGGTGTGAAAAGAAAGCCCGCAAAATCGTCAAAGACTCCAACCAAGACTATTTCCTCTGCTACGGTAAGAGCTACCGGTGCATTACCTGACGGCGCCTGCCCAACTGACACCAACGGACACCAACAGGATCCTGAAGGCTCCTGCCCAACTGACACCAACTGACACCAACAGGCTCCTGAAGGCTCCTGCCCAACTGACACCAACTGACACCAACAGGCTCCTGAAGGCTCCTGCCCAACTGACACCAACTGACACCAACAGGCTCCTGCCCAACTGATACCAACTGACACCAACAGGCTCCTGAAGGCTCCTGCCCATCTGACACCAACTGACACCAACAGGCTCCGAAGGCTCCTGCCCAAACTGACACCAACAGGCTCCTGCCCAACTGACACCAACTGATGCCAACAGGCTCCTGCCCAACTGACACCAACTGACACCAACAGGCTCCTGAAGGCTCCTGCCCAACTGACACCAACAGGATCCTGAAGGCTCCTGCCCAACTGACACCAACAGGCTCCTGCCCAACTGATACCAACTGACACCAACAGGCTCCTGCCGTCCAGGACACCTACAGCACCCGATGTCACAGGAAGGCCAAAAAGATAATCAAGGACATCAACCACCCGAGCCACTGCCTGTTCACCCCGCTATCATCCAGAAGGCGAGGTCAGTACAGGTGCATCAAAGCTGGGACCGAGAGAATGAAAAACAGCTTCTATTTCAAGGCCATCAGACTTGTTAAATAGCCATCACTAGCACACTAGAGGCTGCTGCTGCCTATTGAAATCACTGGCCACTTTAAGAAATGGAACACTAGTAACTTTAATGTTTACATGTAGTATTACTCATCTCATATGTACAGTGGGGAGAACAAGTATTTGATACACTGCCGATTTTGCAGGTTTTCCTACTTACAAAGCATGTAGAGGTCTGTAATTTTTATCATAGGTACACTTCAAATGTGAGAGACGGAATCTAAAACAAAAATCCAGAAAATCACATTGTATGATTTTTAAGTAATTCATTTGTATTTTATTGCATGACATAAGTATTTGATACATCAGAAAAGCAGAACTTAATATTTGGTACAGAAACCTTTGTTTGCAATTACAGAGATCATATGTTTCCTGTAGGTCTTGACCAGGTTTGCACACACTGCAGCAGGGATTTTGGCCCACTCCTCCATACAGACCTTCTCCAGATCCTTCAGGTTTCGGGGCTGTCGCTGGGCAATACAGACTTTCAGCTCCCTCCAAAGATTTTCTATTGGGTTCAGGTCTGGAGACTGGCTAGGCCACTCCAGGACCTTGAGATGCTTCTTACGGAGCCACTCCTTAGTTGCCCTGGCTGTGTGTTTCGGGTCGTTGTCATGCTGGAAGACCCAGCCACGACCCATCTTCGATGCTCTTACTGAGGGAAGGAGGATGTTGGCCAAGATCTCGTGATACAAGGCCCCATCCATCCTCCCCTCAATACGGTGCAGTCGTCCTGTCCCCTTTGCAAAAAAGCATCCCCAAAGAATTATGTTTCCACCTCCATGCTTCACGGTTGGGATGGTGTTCTTGGGGTTGTACTCATCCTTCTTCTTCCTCCAAACACGGCGAGTGGAGTTTAGACCAAAAAGCTATATTTTTGTCTCATCAGACCACATGACCTTTTCCCATTCCTCCTCTGGATCATCCAGATGGTCATTGGCAAACTTCAGACGGGCCTGGACATGCGCTGGCTTGAGCAGGGGGACCTTGCGTGCGCTGCAGGATTTTAATCTGTGACGGCATAGTGTGTTACTAATGGTTTTCTTTGAGACTGTGGTCCCAGCTCTCTTCAGGTCATTGACCAGGTCCTGCCGTGTAGTTCTGGGCTGATCCCTCACCTTCCTCATGATCATTGATGCCCCACGAGGTGAGATCTTGCATGGAACGCCAGACCGATGGTGATTGTCTGTCATCTTGAACATCTTCCATTTTCTAATAATTGCACCAACAGTTGTTGCCTTCTCACCAAGCTGCTTGCCTATTGTCCTGTAGCCCATCCCAGCCTTGTGCAGGTCTACAATTTTATCCCTGATGTCCTTACACAGCTCTCTGGTCTTGGCCATTGTGGAGAGGTTGGAGTCTGTTTGATTGAGTGTGTGGACAGGGGTCTTTTATACAGGTAATGAGTTCAAACAGGTGCAGTTAATACAGGTAATGAGTGGAGAACAGGAGGGCTTCTTAAAGAAAAACTAACAGGTCTGTGAGAGACGGAATTCTTACTGGTTGGTAGGTGATCAAATACTTACGTCATGCAATAAAATGCAAATTAATTACTTAAAAATCATACAATGTGATTTTCTGGATTTTTGTTTTAGATTCCGTCTATCACAGTTGAAGTGTACCTATGATAAAAATTACAGACCTCTACATGCTTTGTAAGTAGGAAAACCTGCAAAATCGGCAGTGTATCAAATACTTGTTCTCTCCACTGTATATACTGTATTCTATAATATTCTACTGTATCTTAGTCCATGCCGCTCTGTCATTGCTTATCCATATATGTACAGTGGGGAAAAAAAGTATTTAGTCAGCCACCAATTGTGCAAGTTCTCCCACTTAAAAAGATGAGAGAGGCATGTCATTTTCATCATAGGTACACGTCAACTATGACAGACAAATTGAGGAAAAAAAATCCAGAAAATCACATTGTAGGATTTTTAATGACTTTATTTGCAAATTATGGTGGAAAATAAGTATTTGGTCACCTACAAACAAGCAAGATTTCTGGCTCTCACAGACCTGTAACTTCTTCTTTAAGAGGCTCCTCTGTCCTCCACTCGTTACCTGTATTAATGGCACCTGTTTGAACTTGTTATCAGTATAAAAGACACCTGTCCACAACCTCAAACAGTCACACTCCAAACTCCACTATGGCCAAGACCAAAGAGCTGTCAAAGGACACCAGAAACAAAATTGTAGACCTGCACCAGGCTGGGAAGACTGAATCTGCAATAGGTAAGCAGCTTGGTTTGAAGAAATCAACTGTGGGAGCAATTATTAGGAAATGGAAGACATACAAGACCACTGATAATCTCCCTCGATCTGGGGCTCCACGCAAGATCTCACCCCGTGGGGTCAAAATGATCACAAGAACGGTGAGCAAAAATCCCAGAACCACACGGGGGGACCTAGTGAATGACCTGCAGAGAGCTGGGACCAAAGTAACAAAGCCTACCATCAGTAACACACTACGCCGCCAGGGACTCAAATCCTGCAGTGGCAGACGTGTGCCCCTGCTTAAGCCAGTACATGTCCAGGCCCGTCTGAAGTTTGCTAGAGTGCATTTGAATG